TTTTATGTGGATGAGGGCCTTTAAAGAATTAAAAATGAAGCTGAGATTTTAATATTTTTAGTCATCTTTACTGGACTGTAGAGTTGTTCTGTGAATTGGTCAAGAGATATAGAAATGTAACTTCAGGGCTTCTTAAATCTTATCTCAGATACAAACATGATATATTGGGCTTGCTGTCTGTAATATAAATTAAACATAAGTCCCGTTTACACTTGGCCGCGATTGTCCCATCCTCAGCACGGTACCAGGCTGCGATAAATTACAAGAAATTGACCTGTTTACACTACTCTGAAATAACCGGTCTCGTGCCAGGCACAAAGAAAGGTGGAACTCTTCACAGAAAAGTTAATTTCAGTCCCTATGCAAATTACACGAATGAAAACAATTATGGCTGTTGATTTAGTTTGGGCAGCCATTTTGACAGAACTGGTGAAAGACCTGTCAAAGTTTGCTTGGAAAAAAGGTCAAGGTTCATTTGGCACATGCGCAGTAATCTGTACTGAGAACCATTCTCAGACCTGATAGCGTTCACTCTACGAAAATCTAACTGTGCCGAGACCACCTCACTTCAGTGGGCCAAATTGGCACGGTACTCAGTATGGCACACTTATATTTGACCCATTTACACTACAAAAAAAATTAACACTGTCATGCCTGGTAGTGCGCCGAGAGCGGCACGGTTATCTCGGCGAAGTGTAAACAGGGCTATAGTGAGAGCGCCCATCTAGTTTTGTGGTTTGACTCAGTACCCACATTAGTTTGGTTTAGTATGCATTGAACTTGAGTGAAATGGCGTCAGTTAGGTATTTGGTTCCCTGTTCTCATTGTCTTCACAAAAGACTCTACAATAGGAGCTACTAAATGATTTACATATAGATAGATTCTACAGACTATGTTCAAATAACATTTTAAAAAGAACTCTAGATCATGGATATTTAATGGAATATTGCCACCAATAATATTTAGAACCTCCATTACAAAGAGATATTTAAAACTCAAATTTATGTTGAAAGTTCGAGGTAGACATTGAAATATTCCTTTTTAACAAGAGCATGATTTATGTTTTTAAAAAGTCTTAAATTTAGTAAATCTACAACTCGACAAATTAAGCCGTGACAGGTTGGTAGATGATACTCATGTTTTCAATAATAGGGGCTATAATTCAGTTCTTATAGCTTGTACCTGTCTAGTCATGGTAATAGTTAATAGTAACTGTAAAGGTAGTAAGTATTACATAAATTTATATCATTCTGACACCAGTCAACACCATTTGCGTCAAAATTAATTTTACCGTCTGCTACATTTTCTTCTCCATCACCATGGCTGACATTCCAATTACTGTAATATTATATATAACAAGTGAAATATTTCTATGATATATTACCCAATAACCACCAGACAAGACATCATTACATATTTTACGCTTTTTGACAAAATTATGTCAAACTCAGCTGACGTTGTTTGTTTCTTTACATTTTTCTCAGAGAAAAATCCTGTTTATCACCCAGTCACCAAATGAATAAATTTCTTTGAAAACTAAATACTGTGGGAAGAAAATATTTAGCAAATGTGTTTGTATGTCTGTAAAATGCAAAGTCGTAAAATAGGATATAAATGAGAATATGGAATATATTTATTGCGTATCTTCTTCTATCATAGACAGTCGTTGTTGTTTGTATTTTAGAGGAGAGCCAAAAAAAGCTCCCCTTAATCAAGAAATTGAAAAAAATTGCTCCCCTAAAAAACTCTCCCAGTTTCGATAAGAACAGTGATTTAGAAATTAAGGAGATTGATCTGATATTAAGGAGAGTGATTAGTTGTATGTATGGGAAATGGTTCTGAAGATCAATAACTGCATGTTAGGGGGTTTTGCTGGATTCATAAATGATAATAAACCCACCCCATGACTTTGTAAAGGAGAGCGATTTTCAATTTTAAGAAGAGGGAGAAAAACCTCCCCTAAGTTGACATTCAGGTGAGCAGCAGGCGCTCGAGAGCAATAACTCGCCTTAAAAAACAATGACTGCATAGAAATGTAAGGGTTCTCATATTTAGACTAGAATAATTTACAGGATTAAAAGAGTTTTAATGAAAGGATATATTTAGCAATTAAATCTGTAAAATGTTGTAAAAATCTAAAAGAGAAATGAGAATATCAAATATAGTTTTTGTTGTTCTTCTTGATAGGAATGCAAATCTTCTCCCATTCAGACAACCTTGATAGGAATGCAAGTCTTCTCCGATTCAGACAAGAATAAATCATAGCATTAAAAACAGTTTTGACGATAAGCATTCTTCTTTCAGAAAAATAAATTTGAGTAGATTAGAATACACTTTGAGATCAATATGTTAAAACTTGAATTTCATTCTTTGAAGAATGAAGGAAACAATTATCACTGCTTTAGAATATCAGAACTACTTAGCCAAATAACTCATTAGGGAGGAGTAGATCATCATGGGCAATTTAATACATACATATATTTAATGGTTAACAGCTGTATGTTTTTTTCCACGCTAGGTGAGGTACTGACAAAAAACCTGTTTGTTGTTTTGGGTGGTTAACTAATATTGCTTTATTAGTTTGGGATTAAGAAATGTGTTTTGAAGATGTTTAGAGTAAGGTGGTTAAATGTTAATTATATGGTTAATTTCATGGGTTAATTACCAACACACGTTTTATCATATCTCTTAAGTCTAAACATAAAGATTACCAACTTGTTAACATATTCGGACAGGTTAATTAATTTTTATAAAGAAAATATCTGTACTATATGGTAAGGAAAGTGTTCCAAGTTAAAAGATACCTTTTCATAAGTATCATTCCCACTGAGGACAAAAACTAGCTTTGAGGTACATGTAAATGCATGCAGGTTTGACTGAGATTGCCTTACCTTTAGTTTTTGGGAACCATCAATACCGAACGAATAGTCTGGCAATTTTATTCTCTTTGCTTCTATTGTATTACTCATAAATTATTTAATCTTGGTCACCCAGATTTGTGGTTTATTAGATTAGGAGTCTTCTTTATCAAGATTCTATTTGGTTAAGGAAAAGAATAATTTAATGCAAACACAATGTTGCATTAGGATTGATCCGGTATAACATCATTTTTATATTCGCTTGTAATCATGTTTTGTTCTCGCCCCTGTCGGTCTGCCCACCCACAATTCCTTGCTAATACCCCAGAAGCTAGTTATGATATAATCAGTTATACATGATCCAAAAAATTATATTGATTTGTTTAAATACTTGTGGCCCTTGATCAGTTTGAGACATCTTGTGACTGCTCTAGGGTCTAAAGTTATCCAATTGATTTAGAGAAAGATTTACTCCTAGTGACTTATTGGAAATAGTATTCTAATTTGGATTTTAAAATCCAGGTTCTATTGCTATGGGGTAGGGTTAGGGTTAGGGTATCGTAAACGTTCTAGAACACCAAATACCTCTTTTGTTTAATTGATGAGTTCACATAGTTTTTAAAAAAACAATTCTGTAATAGCTACTACCAGGTAGTGAGGTGAAGTGTAGTGGTTAAAGTTAACAAATGTCTGCTACCTTTACACACCTATTCCATTACCTGTACAACGATATAGATCTTCTAGTACTCTTATTACATATCTAATGTCTTTACCTACATTTACATCTACATGTTAATGAATGACTGTGTCTTAGGTAATCACAAATATTCTGATTTATTGGGACATTTACCTAGAAATAAATTTATCAAACTCATGTTCGGACCACTAGATTATCATTAGGAGACATGGTCGTGGTCAGAGTAATCAGGTGGGCCCTGACTGGACATAGATATAGGTATATAAACATAAATTGCTGGTGGTCAGTAGTTATTAGTATGTATGACCGCGTACCTTGAAAATGACCATAACACTTGATGCATTGTGCTACGTTATGAATTTTCATTCATCTTGTCCAGAGATATTTATTGCAACTGACAAAAGTGACATGTAATTATACTTCAGAGAATACTAATGAATATAAAATTAGAGAGAGTTAAAAGTTGTTATATTAAGTTGTATACTCAGAAATGAGTTTGGCATGTACATTGCAGATGTGAATTAAAGAGACAGTAACACTTCCAACAAGAAAATAAATTGAATTGATATATATAATATACTGAGTTCATTAGTCTGGATGGTGTGGTAAAATAGGAGGTTAAACACCATTTTAGTTAAATAATATCATATTTAAAATAACATTAATTAGATTCACCAGTTTATTGAAAACCTAAGAAATGAAATGTTTAGAGTGAAGTATGCTGAGTAAGCATTTGTCATGAACTCCTTGGAAATTGATAAAATGGCAATGTAAATTGAAAGTTAAAACATCTTTATCTCAGCAATTGATAGAATGACAGATCTGTCTCAAATTTTGTGAACCATCCAATTTGGTTATACCCGATGTAACTGTAGACTAAATTTTGTTTTTATTGTCCAGCAAAGAAATGAAATGAGTGGGGTTTAATGTTTTATATTCCTGTAACAACCTGGCTATAAAGATGGGCATGCACCATGCAGTGTACTATGTGGGACAGTTTGCCTGGACGGCACCATTTCGGCCTATTCCTCTTCGAACTCCAACTGCCAAGTGTCCTTGGTACAAGTATAATTTGTGGAAAAATATCTCGAGAAATATGTATTTCTGATCGTCTATTCCATGCTAAGTACTAGCTTACGGTATTCATTGATTATCTAAAGACTTAATCAGAAACACTCTATCTTGATCCATTTGTTCAATTAGTTTGTGCATGGATTGATTAATCTTCACTGAATCTTGATTGAACCAATATTTGCATGGAGACATTAACAGATTGGTATCAATAATAGTACTTAAAATATTATTATAAATCGTTCTAATGGACAATAGATGTTATTAAATGGCTATTGATCAATCGCAGTGGTATGAATACAGATTAACTATTTATCAATATCACGTACAGCACCTATATTAAATAAATAATTTTGTTTTTATGTATTTTTCAGGTAAAAATGTTTTGACTAATCAACCCTTCCATTTAAACTGGGCATGGATATCCTTACAGAGTAATCAAATTTTAGTAAATGAGACTGAAAATAGACTCAAAGTTAAATTGAGAAGAAGAGGCTATCTCGGAGAAACATCGTTTGTCAGTAAGTTATTTGTTATCTATGTTTTCTATGCCCATTACCCGGTTAGATATTACCTCCTCCTCCCTGTCCTCCCTCCTCCAACCACGATGCACACACAATTATTGATTGCCAAGTGACTATATCAATAAACGACACCAACTTCTCTTAGGTGCCCATCTTCCTTTCCAAGTCACCCTCTTCAACCCATTTTACAATATCCACAGTTAATTGGTAACAATTATTGCGGTTGATTTAGTTTGAGCAGCCATTTTGACAGAACTGTCAAAAGTCGCAGGATAAAAGGTCAAGGTTCATTTGGTGCATTCGCAGTAATCCGCACCGAAACTGTGCTCAGATCGGATAGCATTTATATTTTATGTACATATGATAGAATTATGACTGATCATTATTTATGTATTATTTAATGTATATTTTCAGCTATTACTGTAATTAATGCAACAGCTAAAGTTGGTGAAGATGTAGATAAAAGATATGCTAAACAAGTTCAATTTAATCCAGGTTTGTTAATATCAATCAGTTTTAAATTATCTAGATATAATGTAGTATACTATTCAAAAAAAGTAGGGGATATTTGATTTTTAAGTGTTATTAAAGTCACCTAATGAAACTGACGAAGAAACAAATGACAAAATGAAATGAAGTTCACATTCATCAATTTATTCCAAATGATCGTTAGACTAAGTAAGGCACAGACTGACCATTATAAGGGTAAAATGATACCTGGGGTCAAACAGCAAAGTTACCACAGCATCACAACCAAGTCAGTAACGGGTAAATCCTCCTCTGTTTGCCAAACAAGCATTGATCTGACGTGGCATACTCCTAATGAGACGTCTAAGGTCATTTTGGTCCAGATTGTCCCATTCCTGTTGCAACGCAGCAGCAAGTTCTTGGACATTGGCAGGACGTTGTTGACGTTGACGTAACCTCTGTCCAAGCATGTCCCAGACATGCTCGATGGGGGAGAGGTCGGGACTCAGTGCTGGCCAAGGTAATGTGGTGATGTTCTGTTGTTGGAGGTAACCTGTAACGATCCTGGCCCTGTGACATCTTGCGTTGTCATCCTGGAAGATGAAACGGCGGCCATGACGTCGTGCGAACGGCACAACATGGACTGCCAAGATGTTGTCCCGGTAGTACTGGCCTGTAACACGCCCTGCAACAACATGTAAAGCCGTTCTTCCAGCAACAGTGATGCCTCCCCACACCATAACAGAACCACCCCCAAATCGATCATGTCTGATGACGTTAACGTCTTGGAAGCGCTCGTTTCGACGACGCCACACCCTCCTACGTCTGTCCAAAAAATCAACAGTGAACCTTGACTCATCTGAAAACATCACATTGCTCCAGCGTCGATTATCCCAGTGTTGACGATCCCTACACCAACGACGTCTTGCCTGAATGTGATGATCTCTCAAACAAGGGATCACGCGAGGACGTCGGGCGCGAAGGTGACCCCTATGCAGTCGATTCCGAATCGTCTGGCCACTCACTCTCACACCAGTGTCTGTTTGAAGACGAGCGCTGATCTGATTTGCTGTGATGACACGATTTCTCAAGGCCAAGGTACGGATAAATCGATCCTGGGCTTGAGTTGTCGCCCTTGGTCGACCTGAGCGTGGTCTGTCCTGTACAGATTGTGTATCACGGTATCTGGACCATAGCCTGCTTATGACAGACTGAGAAACATTCATCGTCCGCACCACAACCGCCTGTGTTGTGCCGATCTGTAGCATGCCAAGGGCACGTAACCTTTCATTTTGGGTAAGCGGACGCATATCAAAATTTGTTTTCTGGTCACTAAAACAATTAAACTGATGTTTCCACCCTGGAATTCAATGCCACAATGACTGTAACATTCAAAGTCAGAGTCGTGCAAATCTTGGGTTGGACCCCCATGATGATCCCAAGCATCACCTGCATTCCATGCGGTAGCTATTGGTGCGTTTGGGCGTCACATGTAACTGGAAATGTTTCTTCTGTTAGGTTCTAAAGTGACTTTTTTCGTAGTCATTTGCATATTTTAGTATTATGCCCCCAAAATCAAATATCCCCTACTTTTTTTGAATAGTATATAATAATGCATTATAGACCACATGAAATCCAGCCCGATGTGCTTAACAATACATTGCGACCATAATATGCTGATATCGAGGAAGCTATGGCTGTGATCCACGAGGGTGTTTATTCAGGATGTAGGAAAAAAGTAACAGGAAAAAAATTTTACTTTTTTTCCAATCACCGTTTATTCACAGTGTATAAAATAGGCCTACAAACGAAGTAAGATGAAGAAAGAATGGCATCAGATGTCTCAAGTAATGGTATTTTAAATAAAATGATTCATGTTTTGATGCAATGTCTATCACTGTCTGACAAAAATACTTGATGCGATGCTGGCTTAAACTAATCGGGTTAGAAACCACACAAACAGCTCTCTCACAAAGTTTGCCCTCCTCTTTTTAAAATTTAGAGGTCGTACATGATAGCACAATAAGCTAAGAAGATGTAATATAGAATATTGCAGCTCTTATTTTTTCACAGTAAGAAAGTTGAGGGGAAGAAAGTAGCGAAAAAACATGTCCAAGTGTATTGAATCTGTAGTAAGAGTAGTCTTGCTTAAGCTGTCAATACAGTGTGTGATCGTTTGATGTGGACCACTTTTAGTAATGAAAATACTCTACTTGGTTTTTATTGTTCTATCAGATCGAATCAAACATCCAAAATATCCCAATAAAGCTGTTTCGAGGAAGAAAACTTGTGTATCTGACTTCCTATTGATTTTAGGTGCAGACATCTTAAGCTTGATTATAGCCATTTTGTCAGGTTTTTACGGGATGATCCTCTATTAAGAGAAGAGATATGAATATTAAATTATCAGATATCCATAGAGGTATAATATATTAAATATAACCAATTTTACTGACTCTATAATACTGGATCTAGTGTTATAATACCACAGATAAGAAAGTTATTGGTCAATTGACGACATTTTATTGTCATGTTGGTCATTGAATGGTCAAATTTGCCCAATATTGGATTTATAAATTCCTTTTATCTGACTATATCAGATCCTTTACTGTTTATTTATGGGTGAGTTTTATGATGGTTTTATAAGATACGGCCCACCAATTTAGTGAATTGCTTTCACACGAACTTGAATGTTTTTAATAATTTGATCATGCATGCTCAATAGATGTAATCATATAGCTTTTATCAGCCGTTCATGTTTTATATCATCGTAAAGATTTTTTCATATAGCTAAAAGAACAATGAATTAAGCCACCTTTTTAAAATAATTTATGATAATATAGCTTTGTCTGTACTGTGTTTCCATCAACTTCTGCAAAATGCAGATCACCAAACACATTTGGTACTGAGGTGTTAACAATGCTCATTGAAACAGGTGATAGGTATGGAACTGATGGTTATATTAATTAAAATTTCATCAACTGAATGAAATTTAATACTGTATAATGCACAAACTGTAAAGATTCTAATCATAAAAATAATGGCAGGACAACCTGAATTTATTTATACAACATGATTAGTTTATAATGAACAGAAAATTTATTTTACTAAAATTTCTCAGTCAGATGTTAGGTAATGAAAATAGTAGTCTGAAATCACACAGACAGAGGATGTCTTGGCTTTGATCCTACCATGACGTCTGCCATATCGTATTACTACACTTACCATAAAATAGTCCATAAACTTTTATCTTGTATAGGAGACATGACAACTCACTTCTTTATAATCACAGTCAGTAGACAAGACAATAAAACATTTTTATCTGGAAAACACCTTAAAAATGGTCGTTTAAACCAAATGTACTTGTTTTGATTTTGTTAAAACATGAGATATAGTAATTTACATTATGTGAAATACAGTTATTCACATCAAAGGTCTGTTTATAAAATTGACAATATTAATGTTAAATTGTTTGTAATATAAATTAAAAAATGTTTCGCTATAAGAAGATTTTTTTAAATCAATATATAGAAAATATCAACATTTCTGGTTGAAAAAATGTATATTCCTTCCAGAAATGACCCCAAAAGTTGTTGCCAATTTTCCAAATTTGTCTTTTTCCAGCAATATTTGATCACCTCTCAAGGATCCGAAAATATGATGTGGCAACATTATTGCAGTATAGATATATCCCAATGAATTTCAGAGATAAAAATATCAGTTTGTGGCCAAATCTTCTCCTTGATAAAATAATGGCTATGTAGCTGATCGTCTTTGACATTCTGTGATAAAATTTGAAAAGGTCAATTCATATTATTGATTTATATCTATATGTGAACTTCAGGTCAGACTGTGAAGACATGGAGAATACGTATGGTAGATGATACTATATTTGAACAGAAAGAGACTCTACAATTGAAATTATCAGATCCAGTTCTATCAGTTATAGAAAATCCTGATCAGGCAACAATAACTATCTTAGATTCAGAAGATGGTAAACATTTAAATTGTTATAAAACATTGAATAATACAACATAATTTGTCAAGAAAATCAGTTACTTATTGTTAAAATTGTTTGATGTTCTAAATCATGACGTCAGCTGACAGACTAACGCCATTAAGAAACAACCACTGTCGTATTATTCTGTTACGTCTTTTTTGTAAATCGTTTTTGTTATTTTTTTCATCTTGAGTGAAGTCTGTACCATTACAGGCCCAGGAATATATGGCGCAGTGGACGTTTATAGCTGGCCCCTGGATTCTTTCATTTGATTTGATATTTTTGCAATAATTCTATTCTGTCTTGTCCGCAGGTTTATCTTGTAAATTTGTTTTTCCGTGTAGTGCGGTCCTCCTGCACTTGGTATTAAGAGTTATAGAAGACATATTTAGATAAAACAAAGTTTAATTGAACGTACAACTATTATTATTTAGAAGTATATTTGTATTTATAGAATCAACTGTATTTTTCCCTGAGAAAGAATATCGTGTAGCAGAAGATATTGGTGAGATATTAATACCAGTTAAACGAACAGGAGATTTATCTGATGAACTCATGGTTATATGTTCAACTGTACAAGGTGGGTAACACGATTTTCCTTAAGAGGAGAGGAGAAGATTTTGTCCGAATGGTTAGCATGTGCACATTGTATCATAACGTTTGTCATTGAGTCAGCTGGCGTGGTTTCGATTCTCCGGTTGTACGTGACAAGGAGTAGGGTCGCCTGTCCAACCTCGTAGGTTTTCTCCGGGTCCTCTGATTTCCTCCCTCTCCTAAAAACCCCTACGCGAAAGCTTGAAATAAAATTGAACCATATGTTAGTCCTGAAGTGACCTAGTTTGTGTTGAATTGACGTTAAACTCTCTCTCTCTCTGTCTCTCTGTCTCTCTCTCTTTTTTTTTTTTTGTAGGCAGATGGTAAAGAAATAGTTGAGCATACTCGTATTTTGCAATTTTTGGATTAAAAAATGAAACTTCCATGAAAGAAATGGAATTTGGTTTCAGTCAATGATATATCACTACTACTATTGATATTTTGTTGGATGACAATGTTGTTCCTATATTGATCAAACATTTGATTTGACTATTGCCATCTTGAATATTAGTGCACATTCTAAATAGTGAGAATGTTGAAGTGACTACGGTGATTCTAGAAGCTATGTATGATGTATCACTACACCGTAATGTTCAGTAAAAGCATTTATTTATTTGTGCATGTAAGAAAGGATTGGGTGATAAATAAAATATCCTACTCGTATTTTTTGATATAAAAAAATATCAACACTCGTTGATAAAGTAAAAGACGCGTAGAAGATTCTCTATTTATGGTATATATTGAATGAGATATTTTTAGGTTCAGCCACAGGAACAATACCAAGTACAGTAACATCATATTCTGATTACATCACTAGACCGTCTGATCATCGTAGTATTATCAGGTTTGATAAAGATGAAGATGAGAAATATTGTCGTGTTATGATTATTGATGATTCGCTTTACGAAGATGAGGAGAATTTTTCCGTCATCCTCAGTGAACCTATGGGTGGTAAAATTGGAGAAATCAACTCTTCTACAGTTATCATTGAACCAGATAAAAATGATGGTAATATATTTGTTGATTAATTGGTTAAACTCTACACAAATTTTGATAACATTGTCCCTGGTACGCTTACTTTGTCAGTTAGAGCTGCTGTGGCACTGTGGGTAAGGTCCTGGCTCGCTAACCTTGAGGTCCCAGGTTTCGACCCCATGATTGACTTTGAAAGTTCCTCATTATTTTTCTGCATGGTTTCCCCTTGGAAGTGGTACAGGACAGAGGGTCTAGCTAGGAATAGTGTCTAGTCATTGGGATTGGGTGAAAAACCAAGGACTTGACGTACAAGTAAAAGATCCCTTGACAGTTGGAATTCGAAATAAGAGTAGGCCAAAGTATGTGCTGCTGTCCAGATAAAATTTCCCTTATTAGCCCAGATGGAGCAGAAAAGTAGCACGGTTCATTCATAACTTTAATTCAATTCCCAGGTTGTATGGTCGCCTGTCCAACCTCGTAGGTTTTCTGCAGGCCCTCAGGTTTCCTCCCACTGCTAAAGACCCGTATGCGCAAGTAAATTATTGAAATAAACTTAAACCATATGTTAGTCCTGAAATGACCTAGTTTGTCTCATGTATAGATGTTAAACCCCATTTTTCTCTCTTTTTGTGTTCCATGGGGTTATCAGAAAACTGAGATGTTTGTTGATATATGTATATATTAAAGAATCAGTAGCTTGTATTTTAGTATTTATATTTTAGAACCAGCATTTTATTTTGGTAAAGCTGACTATATGATCGATGAAAGTGATGGATTTGTAGAAGTTAAAGTATGGAGAACCGGTACAGATCTTAGTAAACCATCCAGTGTTACTGTCAGATCACGCCGTACAGAACCCAGATCAGCAGAAGGTACGTCAACGCCATTTTATTTTAGAACAGCTTACAGAAAAATTTTACTTTAAAGATATGTAAGGTTATGTGTTACTACACGAAAATTTATTTTGCCTAAAAACATATTTCTTGGGAACCCGATAAATAGAAATATATAAATTGACGAAGAAAGTTTTTGTGGACTGCCAGTAGATTTAATAGGTATGATGGTATGTGCTGGAGTATGATGGGGTGGTTTTCATCCCACACTTGTAGGTGACAAGGAGTAGCATCTCCAGCTTAACCTGGTGGGTTTACTTCTGATCCTCTGGTTTGTGTTGAGTGGATTATTATACCCCAGTTCTCTCTCCAATCTCCATATCTGGCGTAGTAGGTCGATTAGCACATGCAGACCTTTTAAAACTTATTTAAATATTGTAGAAATAGAAAAGACTTCTCTATAACATACTTGTTAAATTTCTGTAATTCTTGGTAATTTGAAGGTTAGTTCTATTTGCTTGCTACATAATTAGGACTTGAGACTTCTAAGGAATATTTCTTTGATATGAAATATAGAAGTATATATATTAGATATAAAAAAAATCTACTTGAAAATATAAGTATGGATGAATTCATCATCAGTTCTACTTAATTACACATGATGTGAATTAACTTGGAAAAGTTATTTCTAATTTCACAAAAAACTTTTTAAGAACATTTAAAGGTGGAGAAACAGATTTCTCAGGATATCCAGTAATAAGTGTGGGTTTAGAGTGTCTGACCAAAACAAAATATGAAACCGTGCACGATTAATTGCTTAGTGGTTTTATGTAAAGTCATGGTTGCTTGAAACAGGGGGATCCCAAGAAAACACACAAGGTTGGACCGGTGACCCAACACCTTGTCACGTACAAGCTGGGAATTGAAACCATGCCAGCTGACTTAATGACAGAGCTTATGATACAACGCGCACACACTAACCATTCGGTCATCAAACCCCCAAGGACAGTTGAAATTTGATGAATTGTAGGCAGAAATGTTGCTGTTTAGGTAAAAGTTCCCTCATTAATCTGGTTGATGCAGAAAAGTAGGACGTTAAATTAAAAACCCATTTCATGAAATGATATTGTTATCTAATTTTGAATATTAAACTGATTATTAGGTTTAATTTGTTTTTTATTGTTTTCAGCTGGATTAGATTATATTGCTGTCAACAGAATACTTGACTTTGCACCTGGTGTAACTATGCAGTTAGTCCGTATAACAATTCTAGATGATCTCGGTAGACCGAAGGTAGAAGGTCTAGAAACCTTCCAGGTTGTTCTGCGTATGCCCATGGCAGCCATGTTGGGAGAACCAAGTACTTCAGTTATTACTATCAATGATTCTGTTTCTGATGGTAAGTAGTGCCCTTTCAATTCATAGAAGATCTGAAAATATATTCTCATATGGTGCATAATAGATTCTGTTGGGCAGTCAGGTCTTCCAGAAAAAATAAAACTGTCTTCAATAGTATGATGTCTAAATATATAACTGTGTAGCAGCCTGACTGTGGTCATGTGGTCGTATATGTAGGCATAGTTTTCTAGGTTTTAAATGGGAGTCATGTAGATTGGGGAATAAAGTTATGATATGAAACGTGTTGTTTTTGTAAATGCTGGACATTACTATTAGCCCAGTCGGAGCAGAACAGTAGGATGCTAATCATCAGTGCATACACTGCCCCATACAAAACACCTTTCACAAGTATAAAATCATACAAATTGCGAAATACCAGAAATAAATATCAATGTAAAAAATCTATGGGTTGAGAACATATAATTTTGGGTATGATATTATGGCATCCACTCCTCGATTGATCAGTTATTGACAATTTGTATTATTACAGTACCTAGTATGGAGTTTAAAGAAGGAAGTTATGAAGTATTTGAGAATACAGGAGAGGTTAAAGCAATGGTAATAAGATCCGGTGATTCCAGTAAACAAGCTACAGTCAGATGTTATACCAGACAAGATACGGCTAAAGTTTTAGATGATTATATTGAAAGACCAAACATCAACGCATCCATTGTCAAATTTTTACCAGGTAAGATTTTATTTATGGATGTTCTATATGCACTGATATATAGTAAGAAAATATTACCTACCAACATCAAGTGAGAAAACAATATTATAAGTACACAATATCAATGTTTCTTATTCTTAAACATGCATTATGCAAGAGCTAAATCTGCCTATTGCAGGTCTTTCTTTAGGCCTGAAATGGTTTCTAAAGTATTAATTAGACATTAATTAACTGATCCAGGCCTTAATCAACTCTCGATGGCATCAGATTTCTCTGATATTAAATAGATTAGAATGGTTCAGCGATACTTTGATTTAATCAAATATGGAGGACCGAGACTTAGCTTCGATCAACCAGTACAGTGGTTGAAATTATTGCACACGTCTGTCAAACCTTCAAAGGCTAATATCTTCGCTTGCAATAGAGTAATTTGAATTCATTTTACATCATCTACTTTCGAACTATTATAGCAAGAATGGCTAGTTCTTTATCTAAATCTTACATAATGTATCTTTAAAGTCCCTGGTAGTGATTTGTATGATATAGGAAGCCCCTGTCAACCATAATTTTATAAAAGTTGAATTTCTAATAGGACTATCAGTCCAAAATTGATCAATTTCGTTCTGTATTACAAAGATATTCTGCCCCTTATATAAATGGTACACCTTTGTTTTTTTTCTTCTCGCTTCTTTTTCTTGATTGAATTTGTCGACAAAACTGGTCTAGATTTCTTTGAAATTGAATTTTTCACCATTTTGCTATCTATGGTAGGCTAATCACCAGTAAACAATTGTTTGCATTGTCAGATAACATCATGATATTATAACTCGCTCAGCACCATCTTAGGACAGCCGTCTAGTTGTTTGGATGGGACAAAAAGCAGAGGTCCTGTGTACACATTGACATGCATGTAAAGATCCCCTGGCAGTTGGAATTCGATATAAGAGTAGCCCGCTGCTTGGACAAAATTTCCCTCTTAGCACTCTGTATGGTATATGCTCATCTTCATTAGCCCAGTAGGAGTAGAACAGTAGGATGTCAAACCCCATTTCATTTCATTTTATACTTTAAAAAACTCAAGTACCACTTATATTTATGTAAACACCTTTTCCCTGGTTTTCTTTACATAATTCAAAGGCACACCTTTGTAGACCAAAAACTCATATCATATCATATCATACACAATAAAAAGTTACTGAAAGATAACTCAGTTCTATTCACAAACAAGCTGGACACGATAACATGTTTTAAACATGTGCATTATTAAATGGAAAACGTTTATTGGCCTTCTTCTGTATTCCATGTTTAAATAATACCTTATTCTTGATATTTAATTATTTATGTAATAAAGGTAATCTGTATTTGATATACTTGAGGCTTGAACATGTGAAAGACGAGAACAAACCAAAATGCGAGCGTGTTGGAATTAAGATTTTTTATATATTGTTTATATTTGTATGATATGAAGTATTTTGTACTTAAACTTACGATATGATCATATCACTTACATCATACTGTGCTGCCATACACAATATTTACAACATCAACAAATCATAATAATTGAACATCTGTTCATTATGTAAACAAAACATTTTCACATCTTCAAATATGCAAGTTATTTTGGAAGGAATAAAATATGATATTAGCAAGTCATTTGATATCCGGTTATGGTGACAATACTATGTCAAGGGTTTCCATTGGAAGACAGAAATCTCCAAACTTTGGAAATCATAATACTTACATTGAGTGAAGAATCTTCTTTTAAAAACAATTTTGATACCAAAACCAGATTCTAACACTTGTGTATTCTTTCTTCTTACTACATGACCAGGAATTCCGCTTCCAGAAATATTACCAAACACTTAAAAATGTAACGATTTTCCGGCAAATATTTTGTGTGCTCTTTTGTTAATTCCTGGCATGGCGCCACCATTTTGTTTAGTCAGGTGTTCCTGATTGTGGTTTGGTCGTCAAGTCAGACGACTTAGGTTTCATAAAGTATATAGTGACTAGGCATTTGTGACAATATGTGAAAGAAACACATCTTGGTTGATCTCTCTCTTGAACTATGATAAATAACAAAGGGTAAAATTAACATTAACATTTCTATAGTGGATCAAAGTTTAAATTTTCAACAGATTGTTTATTTTCAGTAAAGATGTGTGGGTTTGTCCATGAATGAATTGTTATCAACATCTTTTAGAAAGATACTATGACTGATATCAATTGATTTTAAATTTATTGCATATAATCATAATTTATGATTTATGATTATATAAGGCTAATGACAATTTGAGTTTTTAGTGGCAATTTAAATCAAGCTAGGGGGAGTTGGATGTCCGAATGGTTAGCGTGTGCGCATTGTATCATAAGGTCTGTCATTGAGTCAACTGGTGTGGTTTCGATTCCCCGATTGTACTTGAAAAGGAGTAGGGTTTTCTCCGGGTCCTCCTGTATCCTGCCTCTGCGAATTATTGAAATAAATATGTTAGTCACGAAATGACCCAGTTTGTGTTGAGTGGACGTTAAACCCCATTTCTCTCTCCCACTTTCTCTTAAATCAAGTTATCTTACATACTAGTAAACAATTCAAGATATGTCTCCTCCAGGTGACAATTCCTATATCACACATATCACAGTAGCAATTCCTATATCACACATCACAGTAGCAATTCCTATATCATACATCACAGTAGCAATTCCTATATCACACATCACAGTAGCAATTCCTATATCATACATCACAGTAGCAATTCCTCTATCATACATCACAGTAGCAATTCCTATATCACACATCACAGTAGCAATTCCTATATCACACATCACAGCAATTCCTATATCATACATCACAGTAGCAATTCCTGTATCACACATCACAGTAGCAATTCCTGTATCATACATCACAGTAGCAATTCCTATATCATACATCACAGTAGCAATTCCTATATCACACATCACAGTAGCAATTCCTATATCACACATCACAGTAGCAATTCCTATATCACACATCACAGTAGCAATTCAAATCCAGATATCTCACAACTCACATCTCAATGGCAATTTCAATCCAGATAGATATTACATTGTAGCTGCAATTAAGATATCATGCCTCCAAGTAGCAATTTAACACCGATATCTCCATCCCAAATGTATTTCAAATTTAAATAACTAATGGTTCTGGTGAAAGTACACAAAGTTCAAATTCAAATATCTCATGGATCTAATGTCATTTGAAATTTGATATCTAAAGTATTCATGAAAGGTAGCTACTAGTCATATGATAAAAAACTCTGAAACACAATTAATGAGATCTGCCAGTTCTGCACCTGTCCTTACATAAAGGTGGATTTCATTTAATTTAAATCAGGTTTCGTCTATAATGATAAACATAAAACATATGCTATAGATTATTGCTTCAATCCGCCCAAAATATGTGGTGTCATATACACTACTCGCAGTGTGCAGTTTGAATTTAATAAAAACAGATTAACATCTTATTACTAGAGCTTACAATTTCATTGGCACTGAAGCACGGACTTACCTCAGTTAATAACTCAACGGTCTCTGAAATTCAAAAACAGGATTTAGATTTTTGAAAATATAATAATATTAGTATTTGAATTATTTTTTAAATTTTCTTTAAGATATTGAAATAGTGAGCATATATCACTTTTAATATAAAATAATAAAAAATGAGCAGACATTTTTGCGATATGGTTTATTTGAAAATGTCTTCTTTTTTAACTTAAAAATTTAATTTGAAATGTATCCAAGTACAAAGAGTACATTCACCTGCGTTGTTAAAATAATGTCTTGATTCTATATCACGAAAGATATTTATCAGGTGCATTATTTCACAATGTTTAAATAATCAAGATTTCTTCCTCTGTTAGTAATTGGAAGAGTGTGTCATGAACAGGAACTGACATATTTTGGGGTTGTAAGATATCTATCATGAAACCTTTTATTTTTATCTACAGTATTTAACATGTCCTGTCATAGATTTCCTACATATTCTACTGATTATGTATTATTTAAAGAACACGGTTAGAAAGACGTGATTTTCTCTTTCCTAAAGAATGTTGATTTAGTATGACTGCTATATCTTATATCCTATGAGGAAGGGCTGAGAAAATAAAAGTAGAGACAACATCTTTTCTTAGTCATTAAGGATATAGATATGAACTTTTAATTATTGTATTGTTTAATGATGGTACAAGTGTGACTCAGTATAAAATAGATAAATATAATACTGTTAATACAATTAGATATATTTACTTCATTCACTGCAAATATCCAATTGTATTTTACTTCATTCACTGCAGACCCCCAATTGTATTTTACTTCATTCACTGCAAACCCCTAATTGTATTTTGCTTCATTCACTGTAAACCCCCAATTGTATGTTACTTCATTCACTGTAAACCTCCAATGCACAGCAAGCCAATGAGTATTTCCCCTTATTTGGATGAGAAAAATACAGACTTTAAAGTCTTCTTTCGTCATTTAGATAATTAAAGAAAAACAACATAATATAGGTTAAATGCCATTTTGCTGGTAGATAGAAATGAATTATCAATGAAACAAGCAATAGAAGTAATGAAAACATTAGATGACCACAATTCTTATTAGGATTGATTGATGGATTTAGTTTTTGAACCAATGATCTGAAATCTGTTTGCCTTTTAGTCTGGACTATCCTGCCTTTAAAAACACTCAAATGATTTAGTTGTCCAGTTAAAAATGATATTTAAGGTTAGGAAGAAAAAAACATTCCCAAACAATCAGTATTTTATCTGAAAAATCTTGATTTGATATTTGTTGTTTAATTTTGTTTTGTGTGTAGTGCAGTCCCCCTGCACTTACTATTAAGTTCTGATTTATGGTACTGTAAAATTGTAAAAGTAAAACACAATTTAAAATAGATGATCAAATCAAGTGTGGATTCAGAAATTCTTTAATGGGGGATCAAATCTGAAAGTTCAGTTTCTCTGAACTCCGTCTAATTGTCAGATTTGTTTAGTTTTATTTTAACATGTCTGTATGTCGGTAAAAAAAAGTTGTGCAGAAATCATACCAAATGACTGTATATTGTTATACCAGGTTGCCACTGTCGTGCGATTTGTTACAATAGAATTGTCCCTATTGAGTCGACGATCTGGTACGCACAGATACATTCAGATACATTTCGATACGATCAACGCGACTGCTATGAATGACCTCAATATATTATAGGACCTGATAGGATCACCACGATTACTCCATGATTAAAACCACGATTTCAGTCACAGCACAAATCGTGATAGTGGGAATCTAGAATTAGAAAGTCCTGTAGTTATTATCAAATTAGTTTTTTCATTTTATAATTTGTATATATTATTATTGTAGGTGAATTAGAGAAGCCATGTATTGTAAAGTTAAATAATTTGTATATGTTATTATTGTAGGTGAATTAGAGAAGCCATGTATTGTAAAGTTAAATAATTTGTATATGTTATTATTGTAGGTGAATTAGAGAAGCCATGTATTGTAAAGTTAAATAATTTGTATATGTTATTATTGTAGGTGAATTAGAGAAGCCATGTATTGTAAAGTTAAATAATGATACAAAATATGAGAGAGATGAAGAGTTTCGATTGGTATTAGGTAATCCATTGAGTAATGGTAAACCAGCTAAACTAGGAAAACAGAATCTAACTAAAATATCAGTTAAAGACATTGGAGATAGTAAGTAGTAGTTTTTGATAGTTTGAAAACAAAAAGGAAGTAATCTTGGGTCAAGTGATGGACTGAACCTTTTAATATCTGCCTCGCCACAATAGTGATATGACAGGCAGACTTGAGCAAAAGATTTTACTTTTTATTGACCTAAAGATTCATTAGACGGCAAGCTTTATCTCCAGCTAGGACGACTTAGCTCTCAAATTAAAAGTTTTAACAATTGATTCACATAGAACTGTAATTGTAAATAGTATACTACTCATCATTCCTATCATGAATTCGCATCTGTAATATGTGAACAATGTTAACAATCTATTTTAATTTGATTTTTTCAGAACCAGTAATAAGATTGGAGAAAAGTAAATATATTGTAAAAGAACCTATGTTTAAAGAAGAGACGTCTATATTAGTTGTCAAGGTGATTAGAGAAGGTGACCAATCAGAGACATGTGTTGTATCCGTAAATACTAAAGATGGTTCCGCTGAATCTGGACAAGATTATAATGGAATATATAAAGGTATGGTTTTATGATTACAGATTAATTAATACTAAGTTTATCCTAACAAACTCTGATATTGACACAAGACAGCTCAGTGAATCTGATGCTGGATCACTAAGCAGGAGCTCCTGGAAAAGTTTCTTAGGATTTTCCACCTGTATCCTCTTATCAAGATGGACAGCCTGGCAAGCAAAAATGTTTAGTTCTTTGGATAATATGAAAAAGCAAGGTCTTGTGTACGCGTTGCATGTAAAAGAACCCTTGACAGTTGGAGTTCAATGCCACTGTCTGGGAAGAATTTCATCTCATAACACACTCCATACAGTCTTAAGACCAACTAGAAATCAGCCCGATTTCTTCAAGTTTGGGAATGTGACCTCAAAGATTTGTTGAAGAGAATCCTGTCATCAACCTCTCAAAGACAATAAATTGTAGCCCAATTATTATCTATTCAGATGGTGTATTGTATAAGTGTCATATTATACTGCTCTATATTTAGAATGTAACACTAAAGCTAGATGGGTTTGGAATCAGATTCTATGAAATTTGAATAAGAGAATAAGAAAAACTAATCAAATTAAACACAGAAATAAACAAATTTAATAACAATTTAATAAAATTTAAAAAAATTGATTCAAATATTACATAATGTAATAATAAGCTTATTAATTTGATGTAATATCTACAGCAGCTTGTCTAAGCCAGGGTATAAAATATCTTACATTATTTTACTCATATACTTTGATATTGACCAATTTGATGTTAACCAATTAAATGATTTTGGAACTTTTTCTTGGGGAGATAAATATTCATAAGTAAAACAAGGGTTGTTGAGCACATTACGATTGTATAACTCTTGCCAATTATATATTGATTTCTATAGAAAGGGGCCAATATCGAAATATTAATGGCCTATTGATCCAATCGTACAATACTATTTACGAACTTATCAATTATCAGTAAAAGAAAATTTGATCCAAAATTATCTATTTTGGTGCAAAAATATGAACATTTACTGATTATTTACATACAGGGAAAAGGTCACCCCAAAACAATCTACATGTATTTGTTATTTAAAAGAGCTAACTCGCTAATATTTAGGACCTAGAAATTGACACAAATGGTTCGCAACACAAATAATAATGTAATATGAATGTACATAAACTGATTTAGTATTTATTGTGCATGCTCTCCAGATAGGAATATGACGTAACCGTTTGAGTTACTTGTGGAATATATCTAGCCCCATCCTTCTAGTCCCTTGTTATAAATGGCACTTAAAGGCATTCGTGAACCGATGGTAAAATGTTTATTTTGTCTTACAATCTTATGGAAGCCTATAACTACCATTTATAATTTCTACTTTTCGCCCCTTCAAAACACGAAAGTCGAAAAGTGACCTTGAAAGTAGAGACTACATCAACTTCTGAGGCGAATAGACAACAGTACGACAGCAAGCCAAAATCAAAGGTCGCTAATATCGCCATCAATACTAGACTTTATAAACTATTTTGTTAATGCGAATTTATTGTCAATGTCAACAAAACAGTACACCTTTAATAATGTATTATAACAATATTACTTATATTCTCTGTCACCACAGGGGGATCACGTGGCTAGCCTGGAGGTCGGGTGTTCGATCCCTGCATTGGCCGAGAAAGTTCATCCAGATTTTCCGGCGTGGTTCTCCCTTGTCAGTGATGCAGGACGGAGGGGCTGACAAGGAAAGCTGTCTAGTCGTTCGGATGGGACAAAAAACCGAGGTCCCGTGTACACATTGGCGTGCACGTAAAAGATCCCTTGGCAGTTGGAATTCGATATAAGAGTAGGCCGTAGTGCCGCTGTCCGGGCAAAATTTCCCTTATAGCACACTGTATGGCGTATGCCCGTCTTCATTAGCCCAGGTTAGGAGCAGAACAGTAGGACGTTAAAACTCCATTTCATTTCTTTTCATTTCTGTCACCACAGAGTTCTTGATGTGGAAATTTACACGGAAATATTTATTTATGGCTAGGGATATAATATCATATCTTTCTTATCTAAATTAGATCCTGCTTATATATATATATAACCAGGATATAATATATATAACCAAGATATAATTTAGATAAGAAAGATATGATATCATATCCTTAGCCATAAATAAATATTTCCGTGTAAATTTCCACATCAAGAACTCGTAGTATTATTCTTACAATTTCTCGTACAATAGGGGCCACAAGGCAAGAAGTTAGGCCCGATATACGCGAACATCAAACCGAGATCTTTGATACATAAACATATAATATTAAGTTTTTTTCAAAACCGGATACAAATCGTTAGAGGGACCACAGCCTTCGATCCGATTATCACAAAATTCAAACCCAGGGTGTAACGGTGTATATTTAAACGGTTTTTAAAATCGGGTATAAACTGTAATTTTTGGTACACCCGGGGTCCATAATCTAGGAGGTTACGGACCGATATGTGCGAATATGGAAAGAAACAAAAATCCGTGGAATATAGACATATATTTTAAGTTTGATCAAAATCGGATAAAAAAATTGTGACTTCTACAGTGTCCACAACCTTGGTATTATATACTTTTATACTATTTGCGAACGAGGAGCGGGCAGTTTCAATCCGATTTTCATGAAATTCGAACTCAACCATCATAAGGGTGGAATGGTGATATGTTAGAACAGCTTTTAATATTGGATAAAATGCCAATATCAAAAGGAACCGCGTGTCCACAAATAAATTGTGGGCTGACAGGGGCGACTCAATACACGTCCACTTGAAAATATGGGCGTACAAAAATAGCTCAGCATGATAAAACTTGGTTTTTGGAAGACTAAACAACTGATATCAAAGACTTTATATGAAATGAGATTTTTATTTTAGAAATTAAAATGTTAAGTTATTTGATACTCCCACTGGCAGGTTAATAGTTGTCAATGTAATTTATATTAGGGCAATACTACTCAAGACGGACATGTTGATTAGATCAGCATACCAAGCAATTAAAATCAGTGAACCGGACCAAACCCAAACATCCAAAATTTAGCACTTTTTCCTAGATAGTTCTAGCACTGCATAGTTATGCCCATCTTTATTAGTCTAGTTGTTGCAGCAGAGTAGGATGTTAAACCCCATTTCATTTCATTAATAAGTTATATTTTATTACAGAGGTTGTATTTATAAGTTATATTTTATTACAGAGGTTGTATTTATAAGTTATATTTTATTACAGAGGTTGTATTTAATAAGTTATATTTTATTACAGAGGTTGTATTTATAAGTTATATTTTATTACAGAGGTTGTATTTAATAAGTTATATTTTATTACAGAGGTTGTATTTAATAAGAATGAGTCTGTAAAAGAAGTTGAGATAGAGATATTATATGATGGAGAAAAAGAAATGAGAGAAGTTTTCACAGTTCATCTTAGAAACAGACGTGGTATAGCTGATGTCAAGGTATAGTTCATAAGTAAATGTAATTAAGTTTCAACACTGTTAATTATTAATACACAATACAACCAACAATTATTAGTACATATACATGAACACAGCACTAGCAATACAAAACTAGCCCCCATAGTATTATGTGACCAGCTCTGGACTAATTGAGACACACAGGTCAAAAAATAAAAACACAACTATGCATAAATATAGGTTTTTAAATTTTTAAATTGCTATGTGACATCAGCATTTACTCCATAGCAACCCAAAACAGCAAATGTTTTCGTATTAGCACTGGGGAAAATAAAAAATAAACTCATTATTTGAAGACAAATAGTGGGCTACTAGTAGTTTTTTTTGTACATAATCTGAGCTGTCTCAATCAACCAGAGCTGTTCACATATTCTAGAATATTACACACCTGTATGTAAGTGATGAGCTGGTTCGGAAATAAAATAGATCATATTATAATATCATAGGCTAACAAACACATTGTATTTCTACTGTTTCTAGTCTCTTGTGATTAATTCATATTAACTACATCCATATACTATGTACTAGATCATCATACACTGGAGTAGTGTTTTCTCTATGTGTGTTTATAATAGAGTAGTGTTTTCTCTATGTGTGTTAATAATATGATCATAGAGTACTCCCTATGAAAGGGTTGTCCAATGTCCAAATATTGTCTAACACTAACATCTTTTCTTTATTCTCACAGAATACTAAAGCCATCGTGTTTATTGAAGAGCGAAACAAAGTAGCAGATGTGACCTTTCCATCACGACCCATGGTTGTATCTTTAAGAGATTATGATACTGCTGAAAACGCTGCTCAACGACCATACCAGGGTTATCCTGTTGTCTGCTTAACGGTAAAAACATACCTTTAAGCCTTTATAGATATCTAAGAAAACAACAATTATTTTTTAGCGAGGTCGTTATGTCATGAAAAACCTAAATACATCTACCTATTTATGGTCTAGAACAATAAGCAGAATGTTTATAAATGTCTTCACGGTTATTTTTAGAACCTTTGATTATTGGAGAAAGATGGAGTACCTCCCATACTGTTGTATGATATTGCTGATTGATAAATATTTTCCTTTCTTTTTTTTTAGCCCTGCAACCCGAAACATCCAGATTTTCCAAAAACAGGAGCTATCTGTACATCTGAGGGCATCAATGACACATTGACGTTGTTTAGATGGCGTGTATCAGCTCCGACAGGCGTTGACGGTGTAACAAGTGATCTGCAAGATGTAGAATCTAACACCTTTTTCGCTAATACAAGAAGCATATCTTTAGATAGTATTTATTTCTCTGGAGGTAAATTCAAATGATTTTAACATTTTGTTTTTCATTATAAAAGAATGTGTTGAAAAGATGATACAATTCATATGTGTTATTCTATCTATACAACGAGAATTGTGTCGGTAGAAGTTGTCGTCATCTTCAGGAAATAACCTTTCATTTCATTTGATATTAACAGACTTAAACAAAAAAATATTTCTTGATAAGTCTGCAATCATCAATAATTTCTCTGATTAATTATTTTTGTTTTGCTGCAAAATGAAGCACAGATGCAAAGTAAACAGATTTTCCCATCAAAAGTATTACTTATTTTCATTAAATATTCAGCAATAGCTTGAGGTATAAATTTTACGGGCTTCAGGTATAAATTTAACGGGCTTCAGGTATACATTTTACGGCCTTCCTGATCATGCATGGTCCCATAGGCCTGTCATAAAAAACATGTAAGGTTGGCTTAACTCAAAATGAAAATATAGAATGGTTCAATTTGTAGAAAAGATGATAAATGCAAAGTCCAGTTTAAGAGAACTATTCCATAGGGTTTAAAGCAAAAGTGTTTGAAAAACTATGAACTGGACTAGTAGCTATGTTTTCTAGAAAAATTTAATGTGTTTGTTTTATTGTTGCGAGTTGGCAGACGTAGTAATGGTGTTATGACAAATGTGTCTAGTGTTGTGTTCACTGTTCTACTCGCATTTCACTACTCTTTAATCCACAGTAGGATTAAGGGATTATGCCTACAATCAAATACATTCTTGTGTTTTGCTGACATCTGATGTAGATATATTTAGTAGTGATTAGATGTAGAAACCTGATAACTTGTCATATTTTAACTTATTAGAACAAAAGAGAGAGATGAGGTTTAACATCAACTTGACACAAACTAGGTCATTTTGGAACTATGGTTCAAGTTTATTTCAATAATTCGCTTGCATGTAGGGGTCTTTAGCAGTGGGAGGAAACCTGAGGACCCACAGAAAACCCACAAGGTTGGACAGGTGACCCTACTCCTTGTCACGTGCAACTAGGGAATCGAAACCATGCCAGTTGACTCAATGACAGACCTTATGATACAAAGCGCACATGCTAACCATTCATCCATCCAACCCTTCTTTATCAGAATAAATACAAGCATGTGATAAATAAAACAATAAACTTCCATAAATATCTGTAGCCTAATATAGAAATATGAAATTAAAATTTGACAAAAAAATGGATTTATATTTACATCTATGAACTTTTATATGGCTCTAAATAAAGTTTTATGGTGAAAGAATATGTTATATCAGGAAATTATGCAATAATTGCCTAGTTTAAAAATTACATAGTGATGAATTGCAGAAGTCTTATTGTTTTACGGCATGTCTGCATATGTAGTAATGTACTAGGCCATAAAGTATCTTTTGATTTTGATGTTTTGGTATAAGTATGAATTTATTGTAGTATACCCTCCATGGAACAATGCTGTCACCTGAAATGTATGCAGTTGTATATATGATATATTACAGGTAGTCGTGTACAGTGTGGAGGTCGAGCTGTTAATGTTGAAGGTGATCCAGGATTAGAATTGTTAAGTGAACCAGTGATAGTCAGTCAATCAAATGGTTTATGTGAACCTAGATTAATGGGTTCTGTTGGTGCCGAACCTTTTACAGCAAAATTCAGATACACAGGTATATTATATTGATTGGATGGAAAGATTGGTGTTTGAAAGGATGAATTGTCATTGGATGGAAAGATTGGTGTTTGAAAGGATGGATTGCTACTCATTTTACTGTCCAGATAACATCACTTTCTGTTTGTAACTTCAATTATAAGACGACTGACAACACCAAAATGAAATGATATGGGGTTTAACAACCTACTGTTCTGTTCCTAAACTGGGCGAATGAAGACGGGCATGCACCATACATTGTGCTATCAGGGAAATTTTGCTCAGGCAGCGGCACTATGGCCTACTCTTATATCGAAATCCAACTACCAAGGGATCTTTTACATGCACTCCAATGTATACGCAGAACCTCGTTTTTTTTTTGTCCCATCCAAATGACTAGACAGCTGTCCTTGTCAGGCCCTCCGCCCTGCACCACTGACAATGGAAACCAAGTCGGTAAATCCTGATGAACTTTCTCGGCCAATGCAGGGATCGAACACGCGACCTCCAGGCTAGCGAGCCAGCGTTTTACCCACTTAGCAACTGTTGCTTCCTGACAATACCAAGGTTATCCTGCTTCTAGCATATGTTGACTTCAGTATCAGAAAATACTCTGAAAATTATTGCCTTTGTTAACTGAAATAAATAAGAAGTGGTATCATTATACATTGGTTTCTGATGCTAAAGATAATCTCCAGAAAATCCATGTATTCTATTTGGGTATATTAAAATTACCCAATAATTTAATATTTTATTTTGATCTAATTATATTTTACGATATTTCAGGACCTGATGATCCCACACATCCTAACAAAGTTCGTGTTGCTGTAACTATACCACATAGAGATGGCATGTTGCCAGTAGTTTCGACCAATCAACTTTCAAACTTTGAATTAACATTAAGTAAAGATGGAACTCGACTAGCTCTTCACCGATGCTCTAATTTACTGGACTACAATGAAATTCCAACTGAATTTGGTTTTCTAACCAATGCAACTAAAAATCCTAATGTTATTGGTGAAGTGGAACCATACCAATATAGTACCGATCTACGAGGGAAACCAACTTTAAGATTTTACAAGTGGGTTATCATTCAGTACTAAAATAAAACTTGTGTGTTAGTGAATAAATGAATTTATAAAGTTGTGTGTTAGTGAATCAATGAATTTATAAAGTTGTGTGTTAGTTAGTGAATAAATTTATATAGTGGGTGTTAGTTAGTGAATGAATTTAAAAAGTTGTGTGTTAGTGAATGAATGAATTTATAAATTGAATGAAAAAATCTAATAAGTTGTTGTTAGTTAGTGAATGAATAAATTTATGAAATGCTGTGGGGATTTCAAGTCCTACCTGGCTAATAGAGACAAGCATATCTCATACAGTGTGCTATGGGGGAAATTTTGCTTTTAAAGCAATTGAATTCCAACTGTCAAGGGTTCTTTTGTGTGCACATACTCGGGACCTCAGTTTCTTGTTCCATCCTAATAACCAGGTTCTGTTCTTGTCAGCTTCCTGTCCTGCATCTCTAACATGGGGGAACCACAACAGGATATCCTGAGGAACTTTCGCAGCCAATACTGGGATCGAACCAGCCTTACCCACTGAACCACCACAGCTTACTGTTAGTTAATAGGAATATCTTTTTCACATAGTGAAATGATATTTGGCAATCCATAGTTTCTTGCCTTCTGTGACTTTATTTGTAACTTTGAACAGATTTGAATATTTTCGATGACAAGTTCAAATTCTTTATTTTTGTGCTTGATTTTAACAGGAATTTAAATCTTGAAGCTTGTGTATGGGAATTTGTGAGTTACTATGATATGTCTGAATTGGTTGATAAATGTGGTGGATCTATTGATACTGATGGACAGGTAAACATTGTTTATACTTTATTCTGTGGAATAAGTTCATTTAATCTTCGCTTCCAGACAAATGTATGCATTATAGCAAATCATTAAAATATACTATGGTGTATTTAGAAGAGTAGCTAGTTGAATATACTACAGTATATAATAAATATGTACATAGTAGATTATTATCTATATTCACTGGTGCAGTAAACCACAGCAGATCAACAATATACACCAGTATACCACAGCAGATCATCAATATACACCAGTATACCACAGCAGATCATCAATATACACCAGTACACCACATCAGATTGTCAATTTCCACCAGTGCAATATACCACGGTATACACTAGTGCTGTATACCATAGTAGATAATCAATATACATCAAAGCAATATACCATGGTAGATTATCAATATACACTAATCCAATATAACACAGTAGATATCAGTATATCACAGTAGATATCAGTATACAACAGTAGAATGAAATTTTATGTACAATAGTAAAATGTCCATATTATAATATGGTAAATATAGCATAGTATATTATCAATCCATTAACATGATGTTTTATCAAAACACATAGTAGATTATGAAAATTGCAATAATATTCTATTTTCAGGTATTGAACATGAAACAATCGTATGTTTCTGTAAGAGTACCATTATATGTGTCTTACGTGTTCCATTCTCCTGTTGCAACTGGTGGATGGCAACATTATGACATGTCATCACAACTTCAGTTAACATTTGTATATGATACAGCTATTTTATGGCAGAATGGTATCAGCTCACCAGAAGGCAATGAGGGATTACAAGGTACATTATTAAATAAATAAATTAAACTGTATAGAACTTTGATCAGTATTCTAAAAGATAGATCTGTGAACTCTATACTTTACTGGACCTGTTTATTCCCTCCTTTTAAAATTGACCCATTGGCTATCATGATGAGCAATCAGTTGCTAATCTGATTAAAACACAGATCCTATTTTGTTTCGTTTTTTATAGTTCAAAATTTCGTTTTACTTGTCTTTACTACACTAGAATCTGGAAGAGTTGTTATATAACCCGCGTTCTGGATGATGTTAGGGATTGGCCAAATATGACGGTCAGTTATTGCAAGTTTTTGACGTGAGGCGCACAAAAATGTGGGTAACCCACTAGAAACCTCAACACTGATTGGTTAATCAAATGTCTGACATCATAGGGTCAAAAGCCACTCGTCTGACCTCTGATGTGACCTTCCACTAAAACTGGTCAGATCTGCATGTAGTGAAGGCCATTGAAAGTATAAAAGAACGAAATGAAATATAGATCTGTATTTCAGTCAGAATGAAGTGTTTGTTTTAAGGTTGTGGTGGGGTTGATCTGAATTTATATAGTGAATAAATCAAGATGAAGGGAGGTAAACAAATGATATATTTTGTTATATTTTAGGTTATTTGTTTCCTACAAGTATGAGAATAGGTGATGACAATAAACTAACTGTAACATTCCGTACAGAAGCCAGATTTAGAGGACAATTTGTTTTAGATCATCCAGGTAAAATATCTAATAAAACCATACTGATCACAATATATAACATTTTATTGTATGAATTTCTCTAAATAATTGTTTTAATGTGTTTTACGCTTAGTAATGTTTTGTTCATCCTCTGTATTCCCAGAGGTATCGTTCTGTTCTACTCTAATAACCTCATGGGTCCTTCCATTCACGGGGTATTCACAAATTATACGTCTTTGATAATTGTGCTATTTTTATCGACCAATTGAAAAATTCCACAAATATAAATTCCATATCGCCGAATCATTGGTGTAAATTTTGTCAAAATACTTTAGGACATCTTTTCATGTGCTTGTCCCTTCTTTGATATTAAATTTCTGGCAAAGTTTCTCATCGAACGTACACGCTGCTGTATTGTGTTGAACATACACTATGATGCTAAGACTAGTATCTAATCTTATTTTTGATTGGTTCGTAAAAGCAACCTACATGGCCAATGAAATCATCAAGGGCAGATAATTTGAATTTGTGAATACCCCGTGAATAGACCTAGGGTTTAGTGGTGTACAATGGAATGATGCCACTGGGAATACCGAGGATGTCTTTTGTTGTCATCTATTGAATTTATTTCAATTACTTTGCTGTTTTTGAGATCCGAGTTCACAAAGCATTCTCAGACTTAAGTCAACTTTCAATCACTGTTTATGAGAAATATCTTAGATCCAGAAACACAAAACTTTGTACATAGTTTCTTATTGATGTATTTGATATATTAAAACAACAATAGCTTTATAAAGGGCCTGATATCTTTTAATCTATACAAATAAACTATTGACATGATTATTTCTTGTTTTAGGTACTAATATGAAATCAATGGTGATGTCTGATAGACCAGAGTTATCCTTCACCTTGGATTTAATTAGAACAGAACCAACTTATGAACAACCAGAACAACTATGGCAGTTTGTTTCTGATGCCTCTGTAAGTTTTGATTCAATCCAAGGCTCCACCTAGTCCCCCCCCACCCAGCCATATAAAAATTCCTGGATTCTTGTGTGTAACCAATTTTTATGCAGTAACTACATTTTAATTTTAAAATAAACACAACAGTTCTATGGATAACAATTACTATATTTCTATAAAGCTACGTTTCAACAATGATTCTCTTGTGTGTATTGTGCTTGATAACGACAAGAGAATCATTGTTGAAACGTAGCTTTATAGAAATATAGTAATTGTTATCCCTAGAACTGTTGTGTTTATTTTAATGTGTTCAATTTCTAAATGCCATTCAAACAGTATTTCAATTTTAAGTCATCAATAAGGGTAAAGCATTCAACCATATTTGGCATTTTGTTATGGCTGTGATCTATGTTACTGAGTGATTAGATATTGACTAGAATGTCTTGGGTTCAATATCAGATTTTTGAAGCTTTGTTCCAATGTAATGTCATAGCGCAGACAATACTTTGATAAAGTTCTTCGTGGGTTTTAAAGTTGATGTGGATTCTTTTACTGTTTATTTTCTTCAAATACATGTGTCTTCAAAACGTGACTTCAGGTATTAAACTTTATTACATCCGATGTATATGTACATTTATTGGTTATTTCAGGTAAAAGATTATTCAGGAATGTACAGTATTAAACTGGTGCCATGTACAACCCCAATGGATCAAGAATATTCTCTACCAGTAACATGTAATCCTCGTGATGCCTTATCCTTTGACCTACCAATCAGATTCCAGCAAGTTAGTGACCCGGTACCGACTAGATTTAGTTTAAATACAGATTTTCACCTGATGCGTAAACGTGAACTGTGGTTATCAGATGGATCTATGGGATTTGGTGATGGAACCGATGCAGCATTCACTACAGGTAAGTTTCAGGTGCATGATATAAAACCAAGAATACTACATCTTATTCTCCAGATTAGATTCTGTTTGATTCCTGCATTGGCCGAGAAAGTTCATCGGGATTTTCCGGCATGGTTTCTCCTTTTCAGTGGTGCAGGAAGGTCCTGACAAGGACAGCTGTCTAGTCACTTGGATGGGATCAATCCTGAGGACCCATATATACATTGGCGTGCACATAAAAGATCCCTTGGCAGTTCGATATAAGAGCAGGCCATAGCACACTGTATGGCGTATGCCCGTCTTCATTAGCCGAGTCGAAGGAGAACAATAGGACGTTAAAACCCATTTCATTTCATTTCATTAGATTCAATTTTCTGATCACTGACAAAAATTATATGATTTTGAATTTGATTTTTTGTAGGTGATAAACTTTACGGTAGAATTAATGTTGATCCTGTTCAAAACCTAGGTGAATCATTTGGTTTAACGATAGAAAAAGTATTTTTGTGTTCTGGTAAAGATGGCTACATACCAAAATATAACCCAGATAATCAAGAATATGGCTGTCTGGCAAGCTCACCAAATCTTCAACATACATTTAAGATAGTTGTAAGTTTTATTTTCTAGATCTGGAAGTTCCTTTGTGCTGTTTCTACTGAAAATGTTGGGCTGGATGCAATTTTGAAATGACTTTGTCCCAGCTTTGTTGCTGACTTGGAGCCGTGGTGTCTTAGTAAGATGCTGGCTCGCTCACGTGGAGGTCCCGTGTTTGATTGCTGTGTTGTCTGAGAAAGTTTAAAGGGATTTCCAGCGTGGCTCCTTCTTGTCAGTGGTGCCAGGCAGAGGTCCTGGCAACAAACAACTTATAGTCTTTCAGATGGGACAAACATTGGCGTGCACATTAGAGAACCCTTGATAGATGGAATTTGAAATAGGAGCAGACCATAGTGCTGCTGTCCGGGCAAAATTTCCCTCACTATATAGCGTAAGCCCGTCTTCATTAGTCCCAGTCGGTGCAGAACAGTAGGACGTTAAATCCCATTTCATTTTCATTTCGTTGCTGACCGAATGGATTGTGTTTGCCCTGAAAATCTGCAACAAGAAATCAGTGACTGGAAATCAGTTGAGTGTTTTGCTCGATACCTCCGCTGACAGATGTATACAGGTTTTGTGTTTATGGCTAGACATGATTATATTGTTGTTTTTGGTTACAGGATAAAGGTGCCCCCTATTCAGTTGTTGAAACTTTCCGTGATATACCTTTTAATGCTAAATTAGCCAATGAAGATCCGGATGCTCTACCATTAGTCTTGCAACCTGGTGCAGATGGTTTTCAGATAGACTGTTCTCCTATGTTTAAGGTATGTTCTAACTATAGGCTGATAAATTGTTTTTCTGTTGGTCTTGTGCTTACCTCAATCACCTTTAAAATATATACCACCGGTAGACCCTCCACTATCCCAACATAATATATACCACCGGTAGACCCTCCACAATCCCAACAAAATATATAGTACCGGTAGATCCTCCACTATTCCAACAAAATATATCGGACCGGTAGACCCTCCACTATCCCAACAAAATATATAGTACCGGTAGACCCATCACTATCCCAACAAAATATATAGTACCGGTAGACCCTCTACTATCCCAACAAAATATATAATACTGGTATACCCATCACTATCCCAACAAAATATATAGTACCGGTAGACCCTCTACTATCCCAACAAAATATATAATACTGGTAGACCCTCCACTATTCCAACAAAATATATAGGACCGGTAGACCCTCCACTATCCCAACATAATATATAGGACCGGTAGACCCTCCACTATTGCAACAAAATATATAGGACCGGTAGACCCTCCACTATCCCAACATAATATATAGTACCGGTAGACCCTTCACTATCCCAACATAATATATAGGACCTGTAGACCCATCACTACCCCAACAAATTATATAGTACCGGTAGACCCTCCACTATCCCAACATAATATATAGGACTGGTAGTCCCTTCAATATCCCTAATTCAAAAAGATTAAAGTATAAAATACATTTTTATAAGAGAAATGATTTGTATAATTTCAGGTGGATGCTGGAAGACAGTGGTTTTTACATGCGATTTATACCGTACGATCTAAGACTAACACAGCAAGAGGTATTAGACGCAGGAGTGTAGAACAACACGCTATGTTATCAACACGTGTTAAGCGAGCTGAAAATGATGCTGCTGGAATTGGAGAATCTGGAAAGGGAACTAATCTTGCTCGTATTAATTTAGATCATTTTTCAGATGACAGGGGTTTTGAGGTGGGAAAAAATACAACGACCACAAAAATCCCTTTGTTGCCCATTGTGATTGCTATTGCTGTTCTCTTGTTAATAACTTTAATTATAATCATTTTATTTGTAAGAAGACGACGGAAATCCACATCACCGCCACCCTCACCTACTAACACCATCATCGTAGCAACAGGCAAGGGTTCAAGTCGTATTGTTAGTGCCAATCATTATAATAATAGTAACTCCGAAGTTTAACCCCTTTTTTTCATCTATAAGAAATTGTACATTTTTTGTTTTCAATGAAAAAGCCCATTTGATATTGGCAAAGAAAAACATTATTTATTAAAGCTATTAATGAAAATGTTCCTATTAATTGTGAGAAATTAGTGCTAAATGTAACTAATATTTGCTTGAATTTTAGGTGTAAATCTCTTTTCTAAAGATCTTCCAGAATCATAATTATTTATCCTAATAACTTTGGAATGTGAAAACTCACTTAATGATAACTTGTTTCAGATACTGTTCATTTTTTTAAAGAATACATTATCAGCTCTGATATTATTTCAAATAATATTCTGGAGGTGTTTTCTTGGTAAGAAAATTTCCTAGAATTACACAATCGTCAGAGAACATGTTCCTGTAAGTTTCTAAATTGATAATAAATTCCTGCTGTAAACTTGTATTGTTTTAAAGATGTTCATGGAAGTTATTTATTTGGTGATTATAAATTCTAAGAATAACATTACTTTGAAGACTAATTTTCTAAAAATATATTACTACAAGGAGATCCTAAATCCCTGAGAATATTTTTCAGGGAATTGTAATATCTTTTAAAGAATCGTTAAACTTTTAAAAGAATAATTTAATGGAATTATGTTCTATACATATATTGTTCTATGTATATTATTATCTATACTGACACCCAACGCTAGAATGATAACCAGATAAGAAATTCTTGCCATTTTATAAACTGTGACATTATCTATATTTAATTACTCACAATACTACCTCTGTATGTAGTGTGGTCAGTATTTATATCTCATACCAAAACAAGCATAATATTATAAAGATCTATATCTATGTATCATAGAATACAAAAATTCAGATTTGTGTAGAACAAAATGATTACTTTGTATTTGTCCTTCCACTTTTCGAAGAAAGCGAGGGAATATTAAAATGGGTTCATTTGTCGGTCTACATTCTTAATCCTGTTTTCCATGTATGCATTTTGTGGCGTTTTCGCCGGAGAAAATTTAGTCGAATGCAAATGTAATGGGACTGTGTCCATGTAACCAGCAAAATTGAGTACATGTACATGGAAAACGGGGGTCTAACACTTTTGGGACACAATAACTGTGCTTTTAATTGATGTAGAATGTAAAAACTAGGTGAAGTCATTCGTTACATAAATATATTGACTGAGTTCATTGATGAGATTTTTCTGCTTGGGTTAAGCCGTGATAAACAATTTGATTGTTAGATGATTTATAAAAAGATAATTGTGTCATCTTTTTATTTTGGGATTGAAGTGGGGGACATCGGCCTCACTATTGGCTTGTTATCATTTTGGTTAAGAACTTAAGAATTAACATCAAAAGAAACACAAATTTATTTTTATACTACATGTTTGAATATCATCCTAATCATACATGTATTCTGAAAATCATACTGTAATCATACACATTAGAGTGGAATATATCATTGCTCAAACATTTCAGTACTTGAATTATGTATTAGTCATGGTTAGAATCCTATTAAACATATTTATAATTAATAATGCTCAATTAATTGAGGTCAATAATTTACTTAAAACAGAATGTTATGCTGTAATTCATTCGTAGATCACTTTAAACCGAAGATCAAAATGCATCTTATTTTCAACCATCACATTATTGAAATAGTTTGGTCTCAAGATCTGAAAAAATATTTTATATTATGCAAATCCAAATGTTTTTAATTATCAACATTTATGTCAGAGAAATTATAGTTTCAAAAATTTTATTTATTAGAATGCTTTTTAAATTACAATAATAATCATTCAAAGAAATAATTGCCTTTAAAAATTTCATATTTTGTAGTATGCTTTTTAAATTGCAATTGTAATCAATCAAATGTAAAATACTATGTTAGGTTCAAGAATATCTAATAACGGTAGCTTTATATTTAGATGTATAATTTTTCCACTTATTTGCATAATGACCGGTAACAAAAATAATATTATTTTCACTCAACCAATTTACCACATAAAACCAGATACTCATTTTGTGTGTTTTTTGTTATTTGTTATATTTTTGTGAATTGTGTGTAAATAATGTGACAGCGTGGCTTTAAATTGTTTTATATTAAAATATAATGATATAACTTCCCTCCTCCTTTAGTCACAATGTAATATATTATTATAATGTATATTATGCTATAATATATCAAGTATGATACTTTATAAAAAATCTTGTTATAATAGTCCTGATAAATTTTGCAATCGTTGCAGAACAAAGAAAAGGGTTTTGATGTATTTTGATTGTAGAATATTGATAAAATCATCTTAACTACGTCTATAATGTACTATACTAATTATAACAAACATAAAACCGCTTCAAGGATAATGGAGAATTATTCACTAAGGCAAACTTACTTATTCTGACTATTAATTATACAGAGACGTATGCTCCATGTATATAACAGGATTTGTGTTTAAGGTTCATCAATCAAAATAATGTATCAACACACTCCCTGCTAACCCTTGCATTCATATTAACATACAATAAAAACCCCAATAATGTTTATTGTAGATATATTACATGTATGTATTATTATAAATAATTATAATTGTTTCTTTCATTCATTCCATTCATGCTTCTAGCTGTGATTTTATCAACTGTATATTAATTGACCGTAGAAAGAATTAATTATTAACTGCATGACATATTTTTTGAAAACTTGTGGAGTGTTTTTCATTTGAAGGAGTTATATGTTGTGTTTTAAAAGGGTAAATTAAATGTGTTTAATGGTTTTTGTCCCAACGGTTCATTCAGTTTTTAATCTGAATTTAAATTTAAACAGCCTATGAAATAGAATTTATGTTCAAATCAAATTTTAAACTCAAATTTATTTTTAATTTCAGTTTTTACTTTTTTAAAAATTCTAATGTGCTTATGCAAAGAGATTCTAGTGCCTTGATGAGATGGAATTTTCTCACCAATGCTTTGTAATTGAAAGATGTAAATAATTTAGAAATGTTAGCAATTTAGAATGTTAACAATTTTATATAGGGTAAAATACTCTTTGTAGATGAAATACTATGCATTTTAGTGTATAATGTTTATAACCAGGGCTGAGAACAGTTAACTTATTAACTGGTTAACGTATAATATAAGTTAATAGAAATGAATTAACGCGTTAACACTCTGTGACGTCATATATGCATATTCAGCTGGAAAATCGCTATACATACCCTTGAAAGGACCGAATTCATGCAAAATGTCATCCAGAGATCACAGTGTGACTGTTGCTTTAGTTACATTTGCTGGATCGCAAGTGTCCAGTCAAAATATCTTGGTCTCCAGTCTCCCACACGGGATCAAGGGTCAAGGCCGAAAGCACCAAATACAATGTTTTTAAAAAGTTTCCCGCCTAATTCCACCTAAATCCTGGAATAAGATTTTTTTACTGTCTGAAAAAGGTTTGGTACAAAAATGACCATGTTTTAGGAGCTTCGATAATTAACTCATATTAACTCGTTAACTTTAAAATTTTAATGCGTTAACCAGTTAAAGGAAATTTTAACGTGTTAACCAGTTAAAGGAAATTTTAACTTGCTCTCAGCCCTGTTTATAACAGTGACAGTTTTGGGCACTTATTACTACAATAAAAATATGGAGCCCTAAAAATATATATTCATGTAACAATATTATTCAGGATAACTGAATGGTATTGGGGACAGACTTAGCCTATGTAATAAAAACCTCCCAATAAAATCAATGATAATAGAAGATTATCAAAGATTAACTTGATTATATTAAAATGTTAATTGACATGACTATAATTATAATTCAAGATATAGTCCAATTATTTAAATAATAATAATAGTAGTACTATTTATGCATGTTTCTTCAGATTAGTTATTTACTAAAAGCCATTCATTTTAAGTTCATGTGACATCCATGAATTATACTAACATAATAATGAAGTTTAGATCAACTGTTTTATACAAATTTTATAATAAATAAATTGTGTGTGATTTTATATGCTGTATCATTTTCATACAGAATAAAATAAAATTCTATAAGAATGTTGGTCCTGTTTTTTCTCTATTTGCAAAATTAGACGACATCTGGAAACATGTTTTCTGCATATAGCAGCCCATGAATACAGCATACTAGAATATAACCCTACTTGTGTAGAATTACCAGGGGCGGTTCCAGAGGGAAGGGTTGGGGGCTCCCCCCCACTCAGCTACATAAAAAAAAATTGTAAATCAACCCCTTTTATGAGATAAGTGTCACGGTTGTGTGCTTTATCCTTTATCATCAAATGGTGGGATGGGGTAGGTATTCAAAGCACGAGATAATGATATAATGTGATATCACAATTAATGCTTTGCATCAATGAAACTGAATCACAATATGATCCTTTTAATTCATAATAAAATTTGACGTCAAAGGGGGTGTTGGATTTCTCTCTTTAAAAAGCTCAGTGTGTATATATGCCTACGTAATTTGGAGACTATGGTGTCAAATTTCCGGAACAGGAACCTGGCAAACACCCTCCTGCAAAAATTCCTGGATCTGCCCCTTTTTACCATCAATATTCCCCCAGAAAATTTCTTGCATATCCAGCCTGTGAGTAAAGCTACTAGAAAGTGGTCCTAAATAGCCTTATTTATGTGGTTTTCCAACAGAAATCCCACTCTAGGCCCACCTGAATTCCAATCAATCGGACTAAATGATTTCACCCAACACCAGAAATTTCACTTCCTGAAAAATTGAGAATTTTGATTCACCAAAATAGATGAAATGTATAATGATCGTTGCCCGAAAATTGTCTCGAAAGGCAGAGACACAATCTGGGTCATTACGGCTACGGGACAAACATTATGGTTTATATTCGACTAAATGACTGATGGTGATATGAGATCACAGAACCAAATGAGTGGTGGGTGCATTATTGAACACAAAAAATGGAACCACAGTGGCTCAGTGAGTAAAGAGAGATAGAGAGAGAAATAGGGTCTAACGTCCACTCGACACAAACTAGTTCATTTTGGGACTAACATATGGTTCAATTTTATTTCAATAATTTGCTTGTGCGTAGGGGTCTTTAGCAGTGGGAGGACCCAGAGTGAAAACCCACGAGGTTGGACAGGGGACCCTATACTCCTTGTCACGTACAACCGGGGAATCAAAACCACGTCAGTTGCCTCAATGACAAGCCTTATGATACAACAACACCCCCCCCACCCCCCGCCAGTGAGTAAAGCGTTGGCAAATGCAGTAGCAAGGTGATTCCGGTTTGATCCTGGTGTTGGGGTGAGGAAGTTCCCTGTGATTTTCCAGCATGGTTTCTCCATATTATTGATGCAGACAGAGGACCCGGTAAGAACCAGTGTCTAGTCCTTCGGATGGCACAAGAAAACTGAGGTCACATGTAGGTCTGAGAAACCATTGAAATTGGAAAAATCTCCCTCATAGCACACTGTATGGCGTACGACTGTCTTCATTATCCCAGTCGGTGCAGAAAAGTAGGACGTTGAACCCCATTTCATTGAATAAAAAATGAGTAAAGGGAGAGTACTCTTGTTATGAAATTAAAAATGGCGGCGTCCTTCGTAAAACAGACACATTATTACAAACGGTTATGATTGTTGATTAATTTCTTTGTTAACAGTATACGCAAACATTATGTAGATGGATTAGTGGTGATAGAACGGGTAAAAATTGGACAAATGAAGTAGCAGGTGATATTATACATGTTTACCGTTTTAAACAGTCTGGATTCACATTTTGACGTAAGAGTCAAACAATAACAATGTATTCGTGAACAACACAACAATGTATACATTTCTCTTATTTTGATTACTAAAAGTAATACAAAAGCATACTAGGGTGTTGGCCGTCAGCAATGATTACCATTATATTATGTTCAGTTATTGGTGGAATCATTCTGACGTTATTAGTCCAGACATTATTGTTCTATAGCCGATTTAGCCGATTACCGAAGCTTGAAAAACCAACCATAGACCAATTTCCACCTGTCAGGTTACCAAAGGTAAGTTCTCTTGATCATTATAAACCAGTCTATCCTCATACTATGTACATGTATTCTTGCAATGCTCACCACCTCCTTTGTTGTCCTATATTATGGGGGGGGGGGGTGGATGGCCGAATGGTTAGCACTCGCGCGCTGTATCATACGGTCTGTCATTGAGTCAACTGGCATGGTTTCGATTCCCAGGTTGTACGTGACAAGGAGTAGGGTCATTTACATGTATTTAGATATCCAACATCATGGTGTAGTAGTAGTATTGTATTTAATAAAAAATGAAATGAAATGGGGTTTAACGTCCTACTGTTCTGCTCCTATACTGGGCTAATGAAGACGGGCATACGCCATACAGTGTTCTATGAGGGAAATTTTGCCCGGGCAGCGGCACTATCGCCTACTCTTATATCGAATTCCAACTGCCAAGGGATCTTTTACGTGCATTCTAATGTATACACGGGACCTCGGTTTTTCGTATCATCCGAATGACTAGACAGCTGTCCTTGTCAGGCCCTCCGTTCTGCCCCACTGACAAGGGGAACCACGTCGGAAAATCAGGATGAACTTTCTCGGCCAATGCAGGGATCGAACACCCGACCTCCAGGCTAGTGAGCCAGCGTCTTAACCACCTAGCCACCGTGGCTCCATTGTATTTAATACCTTGCATTGATTAATATATATCATATGGCCTATGTAAATCACTTTTTCTTTTAATTAGGGATTGAAGGAAAAGTTACAAGATAAAGAAAACCTTGGAAAAAAACAATCATGCATATGGTTCAATATTTTATCACAATATCTATTCCAAGAACTAAGGGACACGCAGCAAGTTCGAAGGTAAGATATACCGTACCTAAAGTTCAATTTGATAAGTAGGAGCTGGGCCATTAACAGGGAATAAAATTAGTACATGTATCATGAATGCCTGGTCCAGATTGATTGTATTTGAAGATTATTTGTTTCTGATCAAGCTGTTGGTATAGCCAGATTACTTCACTCTGAGCTAAGAAATACACATTTAATAACAATGTAGCCTTGATTATCATTGTTACCGTTGTTACGATAATAAACAAAGTCTAGATTATCCATTTAGTTTGAGAGTTGCTTATGTTCTTGTCAAGTTAATAAATGTCTAATGAATAGTTTATATGACATTTCAGGCCTAAAGAAAGACCTGCAATAGACAGATTTAACTCTTGCATAATGTATATTTAAGCAATGGCTCTGACATTTTGTATGTAATTCACACTTTGACACTATGAGGAAAACAGTCATCCACTGTTCATAAACAAAGCAGCAACTAGTGTATATGTATTAAATGTGAAATGATTTATACTTTGGGTTCTGCATTAGGGTAAAGATTTTAATACAAGATAATGAATAAAAATATAAAGAATCTGTAAACGATGGATTTCGTTTGACTCTGTTTATGCTAGTTGTTGAGTTTAATGGTCGATTTCCCAGTCAGTTAATCTCAATATGAAGAATCTTTTTTCTTTTTAAAAAAAGCAATAAAATATCTTAACAGGTTTTTGATGAAGAAAATGAACAGAGAGTTTGAGGAACTATTACAAACAACATCTGGTAAATTTCTGGATCAAATAATTGTAAGTATATATGGATATAAACAGACCATTACAGCATGTCACATCTTCGTAGAAAGAATTATCATATTTCCAATTTTAATCCCTCAGATGGAATAGAGTAATGAGCAGAAATGGTTGACTTTTTTAAGCCAGTTAAGTTAATCTGCAGTGGGCCCCTCTTGTATAGAATAGTATTATTACTTTGGGTAAATAACCCTGAAATTATAATGTCTTGAGGCATCAGAAGACTAATATACAATTACATCAAAAACCCATGGTTAGATACCTTCTTGATCTTGAGGTTCATGGGCAAAGGCTAGCTGTTCTTTCTAGGTGGTCTAGAATGCTTGAACAGAAATAGATGATATCATGAAATCAATAATAAAATAATGAAAACTTTTGATGTTTTTTTAAATATTGTATCTTTAAGTTTTTTGTTTTTCATTTTCTAGGTTAGAGATTTTAATTTAGGTACAACATTTCCTATAGTTAATAATGTTACAGTTATAAATGTAGTACAAACAGCTGATGAAAAATTAGAGGTAAGAACATCTTGTATACCTGGAACGTTCATCTGAGTTGCTTTTGATATACATGTAAAAGCAGACTAAGATCTTTGTACTAATTTCTAAATTAAACTGGCATTATGGAAGATAAGATAAAGAGCTGGTAGTTCAGACTATAATAGTTAAAACTAAATAATGTAAAGTTAATTTGATGAAAATTTTAGTCAAATTGCTCCACTCTGAATTGAGATATTAGAGATTGAATTTTAGGCCAAGCCTCGATCATCATTACGAAAGTCGGTTCGATAAAAAACATAATCTCGATTATCTATTTTTGGATTTAATCATCAATGCCAGTTGAGCAGCAGATCAGATTTAATTCCAGTGAAAATCTCATGCATAAGATGGCATCAAGAGTTGATTAAGGTCTTGTCATGTTAATAAATATCTAATTAATAGTTTAACCAATCTGATTAAAATACAGATCTATATTTCGTTTCGTTTTTTTATACTTTCGATGGCCTGCACTACATGAAGATCTGACAAGTTATAGCGATAGGTCACGTCAGGGGTCAAAAGACCAACTCATGACCCTATGACGTCAGACATTTGATTAACCAATCAGCATTAATGTTACTAGTGGATTACCCACAGTTCTGTGAAAAACACACCTAAAGCTCGCCGTAACAGACCGTTTCATTGGCTTATCCCTGACACCATTCAGAACACGAGTTAAATAACAACTCTTCCAGATCCAAGTGTAGTAAAGACAAGTAAAACGAAATTTTGAACTATAAAAACAAAACGAAATTGGATCCGTGTTTTAACCAGATTGTAGTTTATATAACAATTCAGGCCCAAAGAAAGATCTGCAATAAGCAGATTTATTGAATAACATTTCAGTTTGCTGTCATGGACCATCATATTAAATCCTATTGAATTTCTTTCTTTGTTTTTTTTTTTATTATCAGGAATTAGATTTAGGACTTGAAGTGGATTATAATGGAGGTTTTCAAATTGCTCTTGATGTCTTTTTGGTACTAAATAAATCAGCTTTCTTATCTGTAACGATGAAAAAATTAAAGGGCTATGCAAGGTTACAGTTGACAAGAACACCCTATACACATTGGTCTTTCTCTTTCTATGAGGTATGTTTCATATCCAGTTAGGACCTCGTCCATATTTGGTGAAAATCAAATTCAGTATTTTATTGAGGTTAAGTTAAAGATTTGCACAGGCAAAAGTGTCAGTCACACTTTCAAACTTCTGTAAATGACATGATAGCCATTTGGCAGTATGGTTTGATTTGCCATAGAAAAATTTCCCTGATAAAATTTCTTATTTTGAGCAGGTAATATATTTTCAGGGTCATCTGGTAGGAGGAGTTAAGCATGTGGATTATCATGTACAAAAGGATTAAAACTATAATCCGCTTCACAGAAATGTGGTTTACAACAAATGTGAAACTCGACAAAAAGACAACTTTGTATAGTTTACTACATTTACCGTAATCTACATGAAATAGACAAAAAATATCAAAAACAAATCATAAATCCACAAAATGTAAAATAGCGTTGACATATCCATTAGCACTTTTACTGCAGTCAACAGTTTGATTCTTAGATCACCTTTTGTGATGTTCCACTCTTCTATATTTTCATCTTAGAAATAAATTGTACACAAACTTGAGTGTTGTAATTGGTGTGATAAATATCATTACAGTAATAGTAACCATATATTAGATTGATTCATGAGTAAATTTTGAATGTCAGATAAGTAAATAATATTTAAGATAGTTGTTAACTGATGACACATGAACTTATCTCATATATTTTAATCATTAACAGTAATAATAATCCTTTGTTGACTTAAGTTGTCACACCTCTCTGCCATCATTTCATTGGGGGATTAAACCATATTTTCTGTAATTGAAATGTCTTTGAATCATTGATTATGTAATAAAAAATCCTGACTCATTATGCCATAGGAATATGACTTTAAATGATGAAATAATAAAGTGGTATATATGTTTGTATTTGATATATGTTAAAGATAAAATATATATATTTATATATGCACCATATGCTGTTACAATTTTATTGATTTTGTTATAGTTAAATATTTTATTTGATTATAACGTATATCAAATATACTTGTATAGAATATTTTAAAGTGTATCATTCACTGAATATAAAATCAAGTATTTTTGTTTTTAGGATCCTGAAGTTGATTTTGCTGTAGAATCTCATTTTGAAGGTCGTCCATTACCTCAGATAGCTAATCTTATTGTTTCCCAGGTAATTATTATTATACTTTCTGGGCACTCGACAATTTTTATCCGATTTTAACGAAACTTGAAATATAGGTTTATCTCCCGAAGATCTCGGTTCCTGTCGATATAGCCATATATCGGACCTTAACTGCATGGATTATGGCCCCTGATTGTACGAAAATTCACGTTTTTAGCTTGTTCTCGGTCTATCGCTTGCAAAATGTGGGCATATCTTACATGGAAATCGCTTGTATTTACAGTTATAGAAATTATTGATAGCTGCCAATCACAAAATAATAGGTTAAAGGAAAAGGTTATAAATACTTTCCTTTTTATATGCCGACATGGAAATGTGGTTGTATATTGCTGTCGCCCTCGTCTGTCCCTCTTGACGTCCACAATTTTCTTGTGAACATTTTACAGTCTACATTTATTATTTGATCTGATCAGTTTGAAATTTATATATATATATATATATATTTATTTATATATATATATATTTATTTATATATATATATTGTTTACATTAGTGAGATGAACAAGCCTCAATCTGATTAAAATACAGATCTATATTTCATTTTTTTTAAACTTTTGATGGCTTCTACTACATGAAGATCTGACCGGTTGTAGTGGGAGGATGCGTAAAACGAAATTTTAAACTATAAAAAACCGAAATGAAAAAGGATCTGTGTTTTACATTAAAATAGTACATATTTTTGACGTTTGGATTATATTAACTGTGCTTTAAGCTACCAGAATAAATACAAATTTGATAGAGGATTTGGCCTAATACTGTCTTTGTTATTCTGACAGTGTTATTTAGAAAAGGAACTTTGCCATAGAACTGCAGTTTAAAATTATATTCCAAATTTGTTTTATTTTCAATATATTTGAATTATACATGTAATCTACTTTATATTTTTTCAGCTAAGACGTAGTATAAGAAAGAAACACACATTACCAAATTACAAGATGAGATTCAAACCCTTCTTCTTTCAACCGGAACCAGAAAAACCACTACGTGATCTCACTGTTAATGGTCATAATATTATAACAGGAAAACTAGAAGTTACAGTTGTAGAATGTTCCAGACTGCTGAAAACCCCTAAAGATTCTTTTTTATATTGTTCTCTATCTATAGGTTAGTTTTTACATTGTTTTAAGTCAATAGTTTGTGGTTCTATTTAGTTCTATGTCAATAGGTTTTTATTTCGTCATGAATCTAGTTGTCACTATTATTTTATAGATTAGTTTGTGCTTTTATATAAGTTTAAATATATATATATAGATTAATTTGTGTTTGATATCATTGTTGAGTTGTGAATTTTATAAAGATGATAGATGGTTAATTTGTATATTACTATTTTCTTTGTGTTTAGATTATTTACCATATAAAGAGTTAGTTAATTCTAGAAGAAGAGAATGGGTAACACATGATATAGAAGTATTTAAAAACAATTCTCTTTCTCTTGGACTGTCATTTAAAGAGGTGAATATATTTTATTTAATCTTCACTCATTATTGTCTCATTTGAGATATTTTATCTGTTACAGGAACAACTATTTTTATATAGCTGTTAAAGATCTATTACACCAACAACTATGATATATAACAATTAAAGTATTTTATCTATTACACCAACAACTATTAGATATAAAGCTGTTAAAGTTCCGACTATACACGGAAACCGATTTGTGCTACTTTGTTATTTATATACTTTGTTATTTATATATATATTAACATGTGCTTACGAATAAAATAATTAAAAAATACATTTGTATGTACTTGTAGTTTTTACTAATTTATAACTTCCGTTTAGTTGGATGAAACCAAAAGTAGGAATATGCAATGCAAGTTGCTGAAATAATATGACTATAAATGTGGATATTATAGCGATGTATGAATGCAAGTATGCAATTACTAAGGTCTTGTTTATACAGAGTTTCGGCTATTATTATCCCAAATACATGATGCAATTAGTGAATTATGCAATTACTGACGTGAATAGAGTATGCATAAACTAACATCTTTGTTGTTGAAAAGACGACTATCCGTTAGGCCTAACCGTGGCCGGTTCATTTCAAAATGGATTAAGAACCCTGATTTTAGCTATTACAGCAACAACTATTAGATCTATAACTGTTAAAGTATTTTATCTATTACAGCAACAACTATTAGATATAGCTGTTATAGTATTTTATCTATTACATGAACAACTATTAGATATATAACTGTTAAAGTATTTTATCTATTACATGAACAACTATATATATAACTGTTAAAGTATTTTATCTATTACAGGAACAACTATTAGATAGATATGATATAGCTGTTATGGTAGATGCTGTTATGCCAGATTCTCCTGCTGCTTCAGCTGATATTAGACGAGTAAGATGTTTTATATTTTATGCTATGCCATGCTTAATCAAATTTCCAGTAGTTTAAATTTCTATGATCTATAAAATGTTGTAAATAGAATTAATAATAGATATATGTATGTTTTATTTTATATAGGGTGATTTATTAGTATGTGTTGGTACTACAAGAATAACATCAACCAGACAAGCCGCTAAACTCATTAAAACAGCTGGAGAAAGGTACACACACATATTTTATATTTTCTCTATCGATCACTCTTTACTTTTTTAAAATCTGTATAGAATGCAGATTATTTTAAAAAAGCAAAATTAAACCTAAGGTTCCAGTGTTTACAATATGGCAGTGTTGAGTGTTGATTTATCAAATTGACTGAATGCCAAACGAGACGTATTTATTATAATCCTGATTGATTTGATTTGGGGGTTGGGTGGCCGAATGGTTAGCATGTGCGTGCTGTATCATTAGGTCTGTCATTGAGTCAACTGGCATGGCTTCGATTCCCCAGTTGTACATGACAAGGAGTAGGGTCACCTGTCCAACCTCGTGGGTTTCTCTGGGTCCTCCAGTTTCCTCCCACTGCTAAAGACCCTGACGAGCAAGCAAATTATTAAAATAAAATTGAACTATATGTTAGTCCTGATATGACCTAGTTTGTGTCGAGTGGGTGTTAAACCCCATTTCTCTCTGTAATGATTTGATTTTATTGTTCTGTATGTAGATTTATGGTTAGGTTAGAGAGAGCTCAACACAAAATCAACCAAGATGCTAAATTTACGGAAGAACCCTTGTCTTTCAAAGATGTCACAGAATTTGAATTCTCAGAGGAGTCGGCTGCCCAAGAGGGTGGGGAGGAATTTATTCATATCAGTTTTAAAAATGATGGAGGGGAAGAACCAAAAATAAAACTGTCGCTCCAGCCACAAGACAAGTCAAAGATGAATCCCAATCAAGCTCTGCCAGCTGCTAAACCAAGAGCTAAAACATTTGTACCAGAGATTATTGATAATGCAAGTCCTGCTAGTAAGAAGAAATTAAGTGTAACAGAATCTCCTTCTCTAGGTTATAAAAGGGATTTATCTCCAGTACGTACTAGAACTCATAGTGATCCTGGTCTCTTTACTAAGGTTAGTCTTATATTGTTATTTAATCAGTTTTAAAATTTAAAATCATCTAAATACAAATGTGGGATAAACCAAGTTTTTAAATCCTGGCTTTAAGGAGAATTTGCTTTTGAAAATTTGATATTGTATTTCTAAATTACAAATAATCTGATATGTAGTATGTTTGTGATTTCTGCGAATTGTATCTTCTCCGTAGATTTGTTTCGTGTAATTATGTGTAATGCAGTCCCCCATGCACTTACTAACAGATATTGAGATAACTTCTTTATGAATATGTATTGTATACCTCGACTGTAAATGATGATCAGATTTATATACATAGGTTCTGAATGATGATGACATTTATACTCTAATAGGTTGTAAATGATGATGTTGATAGTGTACATAGTTTTGAGACTGAAGGTGCAATGGGTAGTGATAGTGAAGATGAAATACCTAATGTACAAAAAATAAAAGAAGTCAAATCCAGTCAGGTAAATATATAATGAACTATTAAATAAATACAAATTACAATACAGGAATAGTTTAATATTGTAAGCTATATAGGAAAACAAGTTATGTCTATTCTTGGGGGATAGGTTGACCGAATGGTTAGTTCATGGCATAAGGTTTGTCATTGAGTCAACTGGTGTGGTTTTGATTCCCAGGTTGTACGTGACAAGGTGTAGGGTCACCTGTCCAACCTCCTGGGTTTTCTCCGGGTCCTCCAGTTTCCTCCCACTGCTAAAGACCCCTACGCGCAAGCGAATTATTTAAATAAAATTGAACCATATGTTAGTCCTGAAATGACCTGGTGTGTGTTGAGTGGACATTAAACCCCATTTCTCTCTCTCTCTCATTTCAGAAGTTTACTTAGTTAACAAATGATGGACTTTTGTAATTAAAATTTTCTCATTCCTTTTTGTAATTTATGATTTTAAAAATGTTTTATATTATTTCAGAATCCACAATGGGATCAGACAGTTTATTTTGATATAAATGAAGTATATCGTTATTTAAATTTATGTGTTTGGTGTAAAATACCGGAAAAAGTTGATAAAAGCGAAAAAGTGATCAAACCTGAACGTCATTTTCTAGTTGGGCATGTGAGTGTTATGTTTTGACGTTTGTTTCACTTATTGTACAGATGAGGGATAAAATAGTTTATCTGGGTACTGATTACAAAGACAAAATGAAATCTGGTTAATGACTTTATTTTCTGCACCAACTTGGCTAAAGTGGTGGACACATTATCTCAATCATTTGAATTTTATTTGACCGAATGGGTGGACACACTAGGCGAATGCTTCACCCGATTCACCACTCGATTGCATCACCTTTCACGTCACATGATTAAACATGGCGGCGACAATGTCTTCAAACTATCATGTGACTTCTCAATATGAGTGAATGATTAGTGGTGATTGGCTAATGAATTCTACATTTGGGCACACTAGGCAAATATACCAAACATGTTTGATTGAGGCGAATCATTCAGCCGAATGACAGTTGACACACCAGGTGAATTTAAACGTCGATTGATTCGGTCGACCGATACGGCCACATCATTCGGCTAGTGTTTCCACCGCTTAATGAAGACTTTTTTTGTTTCACATTATTTATACTAATGTTACCATCAAATGTTTGGTTAAAAATTACATTAATAAACATACCTTATTTTTTTTGAGATTTTTTTTTAAGTGGCCGGGCAGTTATTACATGGCATATAGTACTTATTGCATGATTACTAGTATATTGCATGTATTTATTGTATATTGTAGGTAAATATAGCTTTAAGTGATATATGTTTAGAATGTTTAATTACTCTACAAGGTAAAACTAAATATAAAGTAAACTTATTACAAGGAGAGATGAAAGCTACTGCCAGGTACATTGTACTATTCATTCATCTTTCTAACTTGTCTTTTTTGGACTTTCTTCAAAATTTAAAATACAGATCTATATTTTGTTTCATTTTTTGATACTTTCGATGGCCTACACTACATGAAGATCTTACAGGTTGTAGTGGAAGAGGTTATATGACGGCCTTTGACCCTATGACGTCAGACATTTGATTAACCAATCAGTGTTGACGTTTCTGGTGGGTTACCAACCGTTCCGTGCACCTCATGCCAAAAACTCATCGTAACAGACCGTTTCATTGGCTAATCCCTCATAACATCCAGAAAGCGGGTTATATAACAAATCTTCCAGATCCTGGTGTAGTAAAGACATATAAAATGGAATTTTGAACTATAAAAAACAAAACGAAATGGGATCTGTGTTTTAGTCAGATTGACATATCAATGGAGTTTCCTACTATAGATTTATTTGTAAACCTATTTATAATAAGTGCATTTAATAAGATTTCATATGTTAACATAGTATAACATAACAAATTAAGTCTGTTTTACCATTTCCTATTAAATCCATTTCAGTCGTTCTAAGACTGAAAAATATTCTAGTCTACCAGGATTTGATTCTCAGTTATGTTATGGAGATTTGACATTATTAGTAAAGTTTTCACCAAGTAATTTAGTTGATAGTGATAGACAATCTATAACTAAAGTACCATTAGATGCCAGTATTATAGAAGAATCTACATTAAAAGAAGAGAAATCTACAATTAAAGATAATCAACTGTAAGTATAAATATAATATTATTTCGTCACCTGTAAAACGTTAATAGAATCACACATTGATATCGGAGAAAGCCAAAATCATATGAATACCAACATAGACCCAATTTTGCGGATGTTAGTTGTTATATGAATTATTAATTAGACATTTATTCACACTGCAGAACCATAATCAACTCTCTAGAACATCAGATGGTTGTGATTTTTAAAGGATTTTATCATGATCCCCATTTAATAATTTGATTTAAAAATAGATAATCAAGACTTTGTTTTTTATAGTAGTAACAGTGGCAATCAAAATCGAGACTACGCTATTCTTCAAACATTAATAATATTCCTTTTTCGTTATCTATTTTTAAACTATTATAGCATGTATTAATATACATGTCTTGTACATCTCCTAGCTTATTGCAATCAAGGGGTGGGGATATTTATACTTTATTGTTATCTATGTATATTTAATGTACAATGCATAC